AATCCATCAGCTTTACAGTATCTTGCGATGCTTTCATCAGAACCATTATCCAAGGTCTCAGCCAAGTAATGGGCATCTCAGGAGCAGTACATACAAGTCATTTCTGTGGCTCCAGGGGTGTGAAGCCACTGTGATTTGGCTGAAAGAGAAACAAAGACATTTTCCCTGGTATGGTGTGTGTGCTGGGCTATAAGAAGTTTCCATGCCCACACAGGGTGGGCCTGTGCTAGAAGTCACCAGAAGTTTCTCCCCTTTGCTGCAGCAATGGTGCATGGCAGTGCATTGGTTGTAAGCTGGAATGCAGCCAAGGTTGGGACACGTTAGTGACATTTTTAAGGATTTTTTTTAGTAGCTGGAGGGAAGGGTGTTTTGGACTGACATTAGTTTTCTAGATGGATGTTAGACTATGAAAAGTACTAAAATGCCAGAGAAAGTAGTATTGGAGATGGAGGCCATTTTAAAGCAGTTTTCCCCCTTATGGAAAGAGCAAGTACTTAGGAATTGGTCACTTGCACACTTAAAGCCTCTCATGCTTTTTATGCTCTAAGCATAAGATGCTGAACGTGTTTGTACATATCAGGGTTCCCTCTCCTTGACTGGAACTGTATTCCATCAAGTTGTAATCAGTTTAATAGAAATTATGGTCAAAATATTTGTTTCCTGAATGCTACACTCTGTTGGGCACTTTATATGCATTAACCAATTAACTCTTGGCAGCCCTGTGAGATAGGGCTTTATCTCTCTGCTTACACTGAGAACATTGAGTTTGGGGATGGTAAGTAACTTGCCTTAAGATTATAACTAGCAGGAGCCAGAATTAAAACCCAGGTCAGTAGGATTCCAGCCCATGCTCCCAAACCACTCTATAGTGTCATCTGAAAATCAGGAAATGAGACCCTGATGTATGACCAGGCTTCTGCTGAGAATCCCTATTTATTCTCTTGCTCTTCCAAGCAAGTTACAGCCCACATTAGCACTCTGCCGTTCTGAGCACTTTTATATCCATAGCTTCTTTTGAAAAATGTTGCTTTTGAAAAGGTATTGTGATATGTACTTAATGAAGACTTTTTGTTGTTGTTGTTGGGGGGTGGATACCAGGGATTGAGCCCAGGGCACTTAATCACTGAGCTGCATCCCTAGCCCTTTTTATTTTTTATTTTAAGACAGGGTCTTGCTAAGTTGCTTAGGGCCTTGCTAAGTTGGTTAGGGCCTTGCTTAGTTGCTGAGGCTGCGCTTGAACTTGAGATACTCCTGCCTTGCCCTCCCTAGTTTCTGGGATTACAGGCATGCACCACTGTGCCCACCTCTCTGATGAAGACTTTGAAAGATCCTTTTGATCCTTAGACCAACCCTTTGGCAGGATGTTTCCTCAGGTGAATGGGTGGGGAAACTGAGGCTCACCAACCTTAAGATTGTTGACTGCTTCTGAAAGCCTTCTAAAAATGTCTACAAGCTTAAAGCTTCTTAAGATACTTAAGCAGCCACTTTCAGGACATTTTCAAAATTACACATTTTCCTAAGTTTAGTTCATCAATATTTTATTTGTATTTTTATTTCAGAAGTCAAAGACTTTGATTCCTTGAAGACTTACATAAAATAACTCATTATAGGTGAGATGGTATTTTTAGTGAAAATAATCAATTATCTATGATGTATGATTTTGATTCTTGTCATTGACTTAAACTGTCACCTCGTTGATTTTTACATATAAATCTGATAGTGGTTTTTGGCCAAAAGAGTCACATTCTGATGGTTCTATTTGTGAATATTAAAATGGTCTGTTTTTATTTCTCTCTCTCTCTCTCTCTCTCTTTCTCTCTCTTTAAAACTGTCCAATCAATTGCCCTTTGCTTGCACAGATATCAGTATTTCAAAAGATGTTCTTGAAAATTAAGAGTTTCAGTATTGTCTGACAGATTTCTGGAATTTGCATCTTAGAAAATATTTGTATTATCCCATTTATTGCAGCTAGGTTCTATTCCCACTCAAAGAACTGTTTTGTTTCTTGTACTTTCCCTCATTCAGAAAGTATTAGTTGTACTTGTCTCTTACATAAGAATATGATAAATTAGAGAAATTTGAGGAATGTGCAAAATTTCTCTTGATTTTGTTGCATATAAAGCAGCAGCTACAAATTAAAACACAAGGGTAATCCTCTATTACCAAAAGAAAAATACTTTCTTTCAAATCCGTGAATTTTATAAGGTGAAGGATTCACTGCTTTCATAAAAAAGTTTTGATTGCTCCTTTTTATCCTTCCCATTTTCTAAGCTATGTTGTATTCATTTGAGTTGGAAATTGAACCCAGTGAGTCATGTTCTTTTTTTAAAAGGATATTTTGTGATTCCTGCTGATTTGTTTCTAGCATTAAAATTTTGTTTTTAGCTTATAATAAGAAGCTTAAATTGATTTCCTGGAATGATCTAAAAAGTGTTTATAAATTGATCTTGCTCCTTTTCTACTTGCTCTAAAAGTAATCAGCTAGATACCATTGTATATTTTTAAAGAAATGCTATTTGGAAGAAGATATTACACAAATGTTATATCCCTAAAAAGCACTTGCCATCCTGATTGAGCACAGTGTTGTCATGTTTTATAAAGTGAATCAGTAGTTTGATGTTTAAAGTGCTTAGAGTAATGCCTAACATTTTAAGTGCTATGTGGGTGGTTTTTATTTATTTATTTTTATTAATAGTCTGTCAATTCACTTGAGAGCAGGGATTTTGTTATTATTAAAGCAGCATAAAAATGGTATAATGTATAAGAATTTCATTAATTTTGTTTTCTCAAAAGAGTTTAAGGCTAAGCACCACAAATTTAGGCCATTTTATTGTCCTGCCCAATAATATTAGAGGTTAGTTTGAAGATAAAGTACAATGTGATTTTAATATAGTGTTGTTTGTAATAGAGAAGGAATGATGGGAAAAACCAAAGTCTCTTTGATAGCAGGTTTTCGTGGAATTTTAGTTCTAGAAGAATTTTCATGGTTTTAGTCTGACACTGGACTCTTATGTGAGGCCCAGAGAAACTTGTGGCTCCTAAAGTAAAGTAACACGTGGTCTGATGGTTAATCTTAAAAAGCTTTAAACATTCTGAAAAGGTTTATATGGTGGCCCTTCTGTGAGAGCCCAGGTCTGGGAGACTTGTCCAACCCTTCCTGCCCTAAGGGGCCTGGGTGGGTCTTTGTCCCTTTCCTGGCTTGGGACAAATTACTTCGTGGTGCAGAACAGTGAGTTCCCCGGGGCAATTCTGTCCCTCCATGGCTGTAGCAGATAAGGGTGTGCTGTGGGGAATCTGGGGCAGAGAGGCCCTGGATACCCGCTGAATGCGAGTGATGCCTGTGCCCAGGCATAGAGGGATTGTAGAAAGTTTCCCCAGTCATGCAGCCAGAGGGACTAGCTGCAGAGGGCTCTTTCCTTATAGAGGGCCTTTGCATATGCTGATCCTTTCCAAAACCCAGACTGTTTTCTCCCCATTGACTTTGTTCCCCACTTCCCCAGACATCCACCACAGTTCAGCTCTGTATTACTGCCTTCTGAGCCCACCCTTGATCATACCCCCCTATTGTATGCTCTCTGTTTTTCCTTCATAGCATTTCAGCTGTTTGAAATGACCTCTGTCTATGCTTCCCTGATGGCATTGTTCCTGTAGACTGTAAGCTCCTTGGGGGCAGGAATTGTATTGTTGTTCTTCTTTGTTGTGGCCTTCTCTTCTAGACCAGTTTCTGACTTGCACAAAAATACTTGTTGAATGGAAGACTCTTCTAAATATGGCATTTGAAGCGCAGCTTCTGAGCTAAAGCAAAGCATTAGTATTCAGCTAATTTCTAATGCTGTTTTTTTTTTAATATTTATTTTTTAGTTTTCGGCAGATACAACATCTTTGTTTGTATGTGGTGCTGAGGATGGAACCTGGGCCGCACGCATGCCAGGCGAACACGCTACCGCTTGAGCCACATCCCCAGCCCCTCTAATGCTGTTTTGATACAGGACAAGGTGTCTGTTTACATTAAAGCAATTAATTGTATTAACTTTCAAAAAGCTGGAGATGTAATGATTTGTTCTATGAACCTTGTTAAAATTGTTCATATCAAAATAACTAAATCAAAGTCATGACATCAAAACCCACATTTGAACCTACTGCCTGACCTATTGTTATTACTTTTGCTAGAGTCTCACTCACTACAGAAAGCCTTGCCCAGCTAGCCCTGCCCAGCATTAGTTACCATTAGCAAGAGGCACAAGATGACATCCTGACTCACTGTTGAGTTGTGTTTGAGTTTTCATATGTGTTCCTCCTACCTCACCTGTAAGGCCCTGTGAGAGTTCTGCCCTCTCAACCTCAGGGACCCACCCCTCATCTCCCTTAACCTGCCATCTCTGCTGCCCTGTAATGCCTGGGATTGTGCTTTTCCTAATACTGGATTCTGATGTGTTAATTAAGACAGTAATCTGTATTAACTTAGAAATCAGTTTGGAATCTCTAAGACTTATAGTTCCTTCTTTGTAAAAATAACTTGATTCTACTGTTAAATTTGTGAGAAGCAACAAGGAAAGCAGTTAAAACAATTCAGAACTCTTGTGTTTATGTGATATGAGGTTGCAAGAGGAAATGAAAATGGGAAATAAAAGTGCACATCTTTGAATGCCTTAAACTGTTATTTTATAGCGTCAGGAGATGGGTTGTTGATGTAAAAGTCATAGTCCTTACTCACTTTGGACAGGGCACTTCACCAGGAAGCAGAAGTCTCTGGCTTTCTTTATTGGAACAATGAATGAAAATAATGCCTTTGTTGATGTTTTATGCTCTAAGATGTGTCTCTGTCCTCTTAATGTCCTCATCAACTTTTGTTTGTTTTCACTTCTGCCTCCCAAGTGCATTTTTCTGCCCCTTTAAGTTGGGCTGTTTCTCGATGAACATGACCTCTTATTTTCAGGTCCAGTTACCTCTAAGCCTATGTACTTATTTATTTATTTTATTTTATTTATTTGTGTCTTTAGCTCAATTCTGAATGGGCTTTGGAAAGTAGAGAAGAAAATCCAGTCTGCTTTTCGTGGGATATTGGACAGCCGAATAAATGCAGGTATGTTGAGAGAGAGAAATGTTTTGTTTTAAGGAAAACATCTGACTTTTAAAAAGAATAATGAAACTGTGATCTTGAACCTGTAGGGCTAACTATACTGTTATGCATAATTTTTAAAAATCAACATTTTATTCATCCTCAATGGGAAGTATATGGATTTTTAAGAAATCTCAGGAGTATAAAAGTACAGGAAATACAGAGTAAAAGCTAAAGTTTTCTTATAATCTATCCTAGATACTCACCACCATTAAAAAATTATTATATGTTGTACCAGATTTTAATATGCATATGCATAACCCAAAGGGCCATAATGCACCTGTTATGCTTTTTTGACTTTGCAGAGTGCTGTGTACATCTTTCAATGTTGAGGCACATAGCTTTATGTCATCCTTTTATTTTTGTTATCATTATTTTATTTTATTTTGTACTGGAGATTCAGTCCAGGAGCCACATCCCCAGCCTTTACTTAGAACAAGGTCTCAGCAAATTGCTTAGGACCTTGCTAAGGTCCTGATGCTTGCTTTGAACTTATGATCCTATCCTCTTACCTTAGCCTCCCAAGTCTCTGGGATTACAGGGGTGTGCTACCGCACCTGGTATGTCATCCTTTTAAACAGCTCTTGATAGACCTCTTCTCCTAATGAACATTGTCCATTATATATATTTTTTAATGTTTCTAGCAGTGCTATATCTTGTGAACCTGTAATTATGTATACTTGTCTGATTATTTATCTCCTTAGAGTTAGGGGTACAATGTTCTCTTTGAATTCTGTCTCTGTCACATCTATAAAGAATCTCCAGGACAAAGGTTTGCCTTACATTATGAAGCAGGTTTTTAACTATTATGCTTTCCATGCCAATATTTCAATGTGGGTTAGAGTTAGGGCTTAACTGCTGGTTATACTTGTTGATCTGAACTTTGAGGTAAACTTGATTTCCGGAAGCTTCTGGTTTTCAGCTTTATTTTGGACATTAAGCAATTAAAATGGAAAGCCTCTTATTTTATAGCATCAAGGCCTACCTGGTTCCTGTCCTCCTGTAAGCATCTCACCTCTCATCTTGATTTATTAGGGCAGCTAATAGATCAAGCAAATTAATTTGTTAAAGAGGATTGTGACTGTTGTCCCCATGTGACTTTTCCTGTTTGGGGAGCTTCCTTAGGTCAGTCCAAAAGCATCAATTACATGTGAGCATTTATGCTTCATAGAAGGGATACAAAGATAAATGGCAGGTAACTTACAGCGTGTGTAAGTAAGGTACAGATGCATGAATAAGATGGTTCTATTTCATTGTGGTTAGAGAAGTGTGATGAGTTTGGGAGCTCATGACAGAGGGTATATACCTTAAATATAGGACTGTAGTTCAGTGAAGGCTTCCTGAAGGAGGTGATATCTGGGCTAAGTCCTAAAGAAGGTTGATGTCTGCCATAAAAGATGTAGGTGGGAAGGTATATCTGTACAGGAATCAGCATGAGTAAGGCAGAAGGGTGAGAAGCAGCACTGGTGAGGGAGGCACAAGAATGCTGGCAGCCTTGTGGGTTTTAAGCATGAAGTAAGAAGCTCGGAGTGACAAGAGATGAGGCCAATGAGGAGATGGAACCCCTCAGTTTCAGAGTTTGGAACTGGTCTGTAGATTAATGGGGAGACAATGAGGGAGTCTGATAAGTGTTAAAGACATTTATTTGGGGGTTTAGTGAAGGCTGGCTTGGCAAGAAGAAAGAAAGCATTAGTCTAGGGACAGGGAAATTAGTTTTTAGGCAATGATGTTGGGGCAAGGAGAAGAACATGTGTAGGCCTTTCCCTTGCTCTTCCATTCCTTTGGCCTTACTCAAAGCAGAGTAGCTGAGGCTGGTTCTTTGGTCTTAGTTGCCTTCCCTTTTGAGGGGGCTCATAGGAGCCGCTGACATGCAAGCTTATCACCAGTAGGTCCTAATTTTTCCACAATAAAGCTTCCTATTCTTGTCCCATTGCCATGAAGTGCTGCTTGACCTGCTGCCTATTCTGCTTGCCTGCCCATGGGTGAACTGCGGACCTGGCTTCATTCATTAACTTTTCATCTCCTTTCATGTGACTTATGAATATGCAGTGGCAGTCATTTTGTGTGTACTGTCACAAAGGGGCATGTGAATAGATATGCCCTCACCAAACTTGCTGATTAGTAAGAGATAGACATAAAATTAAGAGTATGATTCTTGCCATAGGTCTAATCAAAAGTTGTGATTCCAAAAGTAGCAATATTAACAATTACTCATCATTCTTTTAATATTGTTGGTTCCAGAATAGGCCTAAAATTTTCAACTATAACTTATGTGCTAATAGACAAAGTAAATTAAAGGCAATATTATTCTGATTTTTGACAATATGGCTTGACTATCGTTTATTACTATGCATAATTATTTCCATGGTTTCATCTCTTGTAAGCTCTGACCTGCCTGATTTTTAGGAAGGGAAGGAGGAAGAGGTTCTTATCCAGTACTAAATATTACTGCTTGCATACCTTTACAACACTCTCTTTTGCCCTAGGGACTTGTAAAACATAGAATGACCACATCACCTTGTTCTCCTCCTTCTACAGTATCTAAATATAAAAGAAGACTGCAATGCCATGGCTTTCTGTGCTAAAATGAGGAGCTCCAAGAAGGCGGAGGTGAATCAGGTGGCCCCTGAGCCAGGGGTGGAAGTGACCTTCTATCTGCCAGACAGGGAGCCCCTCCGGCTGGGCAGTGGAGAGTACACAGCAGAAGAGCTGTGCATCAGGGCAGCGCAGGAATGCTGTGAGTACTGGCAGTTGCCTGGGGCTCTGGAGTCACAATAGCATACTCTCCCAGAAGCAGATCTAGGGTCTCTGCCCTTTATATCTTTGCTGAGCAGAAGATGTGGTCTCTGGTAGTCAGGGGTCTGCCTTGCCTCTGCTTCTGCCACTTACTTACATGTGATCTTTGGCCAGTGATTTTAATCTAGGGAGTTTTACTTTTTACTGCAAGATGGATCATTCCTCTTTTATCACTGATGAGCTGTAGAATACCAAGGAATGGTGCTTAACTCAGTTCTCATTGCCCCCACATCTCTGATCAAAATAGCATCAGTACCAGGTAAGGTGGTGTTTGTAAAGCACATAGCCTCAAGTACAATCTCAAAAGTAGCATCTTTCAATATGTTAGAGATTTTTGGAAGCATCTCTCAATATGTTAGATATTTTTTGGAAGCTCTTCCTTCAGAGATTGGCACCATGACCTGCCCTCCCCTGTGTGGTGTGCAGATGAGGTGAGAAGCTGAGTATTGCTTTGTGACTTGGTCAGGTTGCCAAGCTGTGAAAAGGACAGTGAGGCAGTTAACAGCACAGTCTGGTTTTTTTTTTTTTTTTTTTTTTTTTTTTGGTGTGTGTGTTTAAAGTGAGGCTTGTCTTACTTAAAGTTAACCTATCACCCTTTGAAGGTGGGAAGCCAAAGTGACTGACAAAACTTTCATTACCCTTGCAATTTAGGTGGGGACATTGGCAGATTTTTATCTTCCCAATTTTAAATGAAAAACAAAACGAAATCAGAAACTTAGAGATATAATCCACATAGATTATAGCAATGGTTGTATAACTTAGTACTAACTCACTAAAGTTCATTGAGTTATATACCTAGAACAGGTATACTTTATAGTATGTAAATTGTATATCAATAAAGCTGTTTATAGAAGATCTAATTGACTTATATTATAATGATGAAGTAACTTTATGATCCCAGACAGTCTGATCCATGTTTTACTTATACCATCTTTAGTACTCAGAGCAACTTGGTGAGGATAGTGTAGTTATTTAAGAATTGCTTACCATGTTAGTCATATAGCTTGTTGAGAAACCCCATTTTCTTCCTGTTACATGCCTTTGTGCCTAAAGGGCTTTATATACCAGAGTGCCAGTAGAATGGAAGAGGTTTCTGTTACAGGAATGAATGTGGTAGACTCTCACTACTAAACAGGGTGTGGGATGTTCAAGTTATTTTGACTGGGCAGCAATCTATACAAGTAAATAGCTTTGAACAGCAGCTCTAAGTGTATTTGTAGTTAGCAGAATTATTAGATGTGTGTCAGTGCTTCTAGAGCATTTCTAAAGGCTTTTGTCTGTTTCTCTTCCTTTCCCTAGAGGTTTGTTTATAGTGCCGATTCCTTAACCAAGCGCTTTATAATAATCATTCAGTATTAACCTCACTCAGTTTTATTTTTTTTTTTTAAAGCAGGGATCACTTTTGCAGAATTGTTGGATTGTAGTTAATCTATCAGTTCCTAAGTCTTGTCTGTAGAGAATGAGTGGTGTCTTTTCTGTAACTGGCTCAAAGGAATTTTGCCACAGTACATTAATTTTAAAAGTATGTAAATACTGAATATTACAGATTTTTGTAGTTCTCATTGTTATTACAGAAGTGATGTTTGGGAGCTATACTGTTTTCTTCCCTGTTTTGTACTCACCAATGGTAAAGTTTGGTTCTTTGAGCTTTTATTGCTTATCTCCTCAGTGGTTTCTGTCTTGGTTTTAATCTCAACTCTGCATGGTACTGAGTAACCTTGAATTACATTAAACCTTGGGAGACCACAGTTTCTTCAACTGTAAAACGGCAAAAGAAAAATATTAACCTCATTAAGTATCAGGAGGAGCAAAAGATAATAAAAGTAATGTTAACTCTATGCCTAACATGTAGCCCCAAGTAAATGTTAGTATTATTGTTTAGTACTTTTATATAACATGTTATCTCTGATCTTCCTGTTTATAAATAGTTATGAATAGGTAAGGTTTTTAGAATCAGACCTGTGGTAGAAAAATAGATATTTCCATGATTACATATAAATCATGCTTCAAGTGTGCATTCAAATAAAGATATGTATAAAGAAAGGCTAATTTTTCAGGCCAGCCTGTAAGAACCAATTTATGTATGAAAAACTATAGCATACCTGAAACATAGTCCTAATAATACTGGATCCAAAAGCCATTGGTCTTTGTTCCCTAGGGGAAATGCTCTTTAAAGTTTAGCTCCATCTTTTCCCTTTGTTAGTAGAATTATAGCTTGGGCAGGAATAACTTTCACCTTTTTTGAGACCTGAGTTGAGGTGTCAGGAGAAAGCTTTGAGATGCCAAGTCACCTGTGACTTCTTAAGCCAGTTTCTGCTGGAGTGTCCCTCCCAGGCTGTGCAGGGCCAGAGAGGGGCCCTGTCAAAGTCATTTTCACTTCAGGTTTCTGATTTAGAAAACAAGTGCCAATTACCTCATTTTTTCCCACATTTTTTGATCATTTAAGTTCACTATATCTTGGTTTGAGGCTTGGTTGGACCCGAAAATATCAGTAATAATTGTTTATTGGCATTCACCTCCCACCACCCCAACATCTGTGTAGATTACTGGTCTGTAATTTTAATCATGGGCTAAGAAGTGAGTGACTTCATAATCTCCCTTACCTTTTTTTATCATGCTTGTTATTAAGGAAGCAGTTGATGAGGTAGGGAGGCAAAGCATTACTGAGCCAACTTTGTTAAGCATATATCTTCATCTTACTTGGATACTAATAAAAATATTTATGGTAACTGTACAGAGTACTTAAGAATTATATTTATTATTAATGGTAATAAATTTTAATCACTGATGAAAACCACTTTGGTTATTATTTATTCTAATATGCATTTTGTGCACTACTTCCAGGAATAACTTTGCATGCTTAATGTATAACCACAGTGTGTTAGAATTGTTCAAACGTGTTTTGGAGGAAACAGATTGAGGATTTCCCAAACTCCAAGAGTGTTTCTGTCTGATTAGCAGGGTGTACATTGGGTGGGATCTGTGAGCCTCTTAGATGGCCTTTTTATCTTTTAAGCAGGATTTGGTAAGTCTCTGTCATAGACTACCTGTATTGAGAAACATCATCAATTTTTATTTTTAAATGACTTTAATTTGGCTTACCAGGAGCTACATGCCTATTCCTGGGGAGTCATGGTTCTTGATTATTATAATTCAAACTGCCTAACTGAACGTGGTTGAAAATTGTTTTTGCCCTAAGAGGATGAGAGACTCACTTATCATTATGTGTGTCATGCTTGAGAAACAGGTGGCCAAGTGCATCTCCCTGTAATCTTCTTATGTGTTCTTTCCCCAGGTATATCTCCTCTATGCCACAACCTCTTTGCCTTGTATGATGAGAACACCAAGCTCTGGTATGCTCCGAACCGCACCATCACCATTGATGACAAGATATCACTCCGACTGCACTACCGCATGAGGTACGTGAGAACTGAGCTGATGCCTGCCTGGTCTCCTCATGCATCCAGAGATGACAGTTAACCTGGGCCCTGAGTCGTTTACCAAGAAGTAACATAGTCATTTTTGTAGTTTGTAACTTTGGTGTTTGCTTGATATGAGAAAGGACTTCATCAGTATTTGGAATACAATTCGAGATGAATTTGATCACTTTTCCTTTGCCACATTTTAGAAAAGAAATGTTTATGAAATGTTAACTAGCATCTGTGTCCTTAGCAGTTTTTTTCAAGTAGTGAATCTTGATTATGTTTTTAATGCAGAGGGCTGTGACCAGAACTTAAAAAAAGAAAGAAACAGGAGAGAATAGATAATATTCATATATATATATATATGTATCCTAAGAACATTTAAAAAAAATCTGAGGTATATACTAGGTCATTATATAAAATATATTTCTTACTAAAAGTTACAGCTAGGAAGCATGAGATATATTGCCTGGAATAGAAACTCTGGGCTGATCTTTCTTTCAGGTAATAGATGTTTTGATCAGGAAGCAGATGTTTGACTGTTGTTCTCTTCTGATGAGTACTTGCTTTTTCTCCCTTACTATAAACTTTGCTGTAGACTCTATAGTGTCTCCCAGGGTCAAATACACAGTTGGTAGTTCCAGGGCTGCAGTCTCTTGACTTTGTAAGCATATCTTTTCAGCAATGAGAATTGAAAGTATCTTAGTTGGATGCTAGTTAAGCACAAATTAATGTGTGTTTAGCAGTGAATCCTTTTTGAAAAGGATCTTAATTTATTTAGTTATGATTATCAGTAGACTAGCATAGAAGCTACTGGGATTCAGGAACATGTTAGAAAAACCATCCAGATCCTCAGAGCCTCTCCACAGTATCTTAGCTGTTAGTTTTTTCAGAAACTCGGTAGTTGGCACTGTTCCAGAAAGACAAGGTCATTTTTCTGGAAGCTGAAGCAGATCTAACTTTCATAATCATTCTTGGCCTTTTTCTCCTCATCCTCTTCTCCCTGTACTTCCCTAAAGCCTTACCTTGAGAGGAGAGGTGTGTGCCGTGTGAGACTTGTCCCAGATTTAGGGAAATGTTTACTGCTTCCAGCTGAACTTTCTGACTTATATTTGGATTTGTTTGGTAAAATGTAGTCTTGCTTTTCATGGCCTGGGATTGGCTGTGTGACCAATGTTGATATGGGTACTTACAGCTGGAAATCTCAGAAGTTCTACTCCTTTCAAATTGAGCTTACAATCTAGCATGGTAGCATTTGCGACTTGGATGGAATGAGAGTTACTTAATTCACCCCTTCTACTTTTTTCTGATGTCAGAAAAGAAAAGGGAGTTATTCAGAGATATACATGTAGTGAATTGTCTTATTATCAGTACATTTCACTTTGAGGCATTAGTCTTTGTTGTTCATACGGGTGTCTCACTATTAAAACTTGTCTTTGCCCATTCCCCATTTCTTTTTGCTGCCAGGAAGTGCACAGATGCTTCATTTTTGTCACCTTGACTTTGTACCTGACATTGTGCTTCAACAGGATATTGCTTTGTTACCACAGACTCTTTGAACTTGGGGAAAAAAGATACCACCCTAAGCTAAAACATTTGCATTGCAACAAACTACAAAAATTTTGAAACCTCATAATCTCACCACTAAAGAAGGTGCAATATGAAAATAAATGTTGATGATTATTTCAGTGGAATCCCAGCTCTATTTTGGGAAATAGTCTTATACTTTAACTGTGGTTTTCTGTTTTTAGGTAATGATGTTGATAGTTACTGTTTTATAATATATGTTAATTCAAGGTAATCATTTTTATTCCTTTTTAAGAAAAAAATTCTTGCTTTTTCATCCAAGTGAATTTCACTGTTAATAAAATTCTATAGAAACTTAAAGAGAATTTATTGTGTACTATGTCTATAAGTAAATTTAGAATCTGCAGTCATCTGTAATATAATTTCTCAAAAACTTGCAGGGTGTATCTGTGACTGACAGATCTATTTATTTTCTCCGGACTTACCCTTCCATGTTCTTTTGAAAAGGAATGTGGGTGGGTAGGGATCACACTATATTTACTTGTTACTCAATTTTTTCCATTGGCATTCATAATATCAGGAATTTGTACCAAGTTTGATGAACACCTCTGTAATTTATTTTTTATTTCATTGTAAATTGACAATTTATAATTATGTATATTGGGGTACAAAACAATGTTATAACTTATGAATATAATGTAAAGTAATTAAACCAAACTAATTAACATATTAATCACCTCAGGTAATTATTTTTGTGGTGGGAACATTTAAAATTTAATGTTAGCAATTTTGAGATATGCAATTAACTATAGTTACCACATTGTGCAGTAGATCTTTTAAGAAAAACACTCTTATTCCACCTAACTGTTGCTTTGAACTCTTGGTCATATCAATTACTAATTTTAAAAAGGAATGTAGAATTTTAAAAAGGAATGAAATTGAATTTTCTAGCAATTAGGAAGGTGTTGATATTTGTGGCCACCAATTTAAAGTTGTTATTATGTTGTTTGACATCTTATGAAATAGAATTTTGTCAACTTTTGAGTGTAAGCAGTTCATAGAGACTCAGCTTGTTTTAGACTTCCTGGGCTTGGTGTTTACCGTTAGTCTTTACTGTTGTGGAGAAGCTGCACATTGTTTGATCTCTCCAGCCTTATCTCATCTGAATATCTGACCAAAAGGCTGCCAAGCCAGACATGGTTCCACAGTCCCACAGGGCTCTCAGAAGCCTAGAAGAATGTGTTTGTGATGTCTTTGTCAATCTTTAGTGACCCTGTTGAGGACTGTGTTTAGTGCAGAGGGAGAATGTTGGGTCCTGGGCTCTACCACAACTGAAGGAGAAGGAGACAGACAGGATGTGGAAGATGAGATCCATGCATTAGATTGGTTCAGGGAGCACCTGCYGCCTTCAGTGCTTCTGTAACAATGTGTTCCACCTCTGAGGGCCTTTTCTTTCCCTACTGCAGGAAACCTTTGTGTTGTACATATCCTCATGCTGTGATCACTGCTTCCCTTATCCATGAACAGAATTTACCTGGTCTAATGCTATTCTCTTAGAGCCCTGCTTTGAACTTTGTATGGCACAGGTCATTCTCTCCTTATTTTCTACTTGGGGGAGAGGAGCCAGCTAAGTACTCCATCTATGCTCTTTTCAACCCTTGATGATCAGTAAAAGACCTGGGGACAACATGAATGTCAGCCTCTGCATCACCTCGGGCTCCTGTTGTTACCAGAGTCTGATCCCCTGTAAGAGGACAGTACACCTGCTTCAGAGACCTGGTGTGGTTTATGCAGCATGTGGGCTCTTCAGTTATATTTCTCTTTTTCTCAGTCACATAAACAGTTGGTATTTCTACAGCTTTAGTCTCTTGACTTTGTAAGCATATTTTTTTTTTCAGCAATGAGAATTGAAAGTATCTTAGTTGGATACTAGTTAAGCACAAATTAATGTGTGTTTAGCACTGAATCCTTTTTGAAAAGGATCTTAAATCAGTAGACTTGCTTAGAAGCTACTGGGATTCAGGAACTTGTTAGAAAAACCGTCTAGATCCTCAGAGCCTTTCCTCAGTATCTTAGCTGTTAGTTTTTTTCAGAAACTCAGTAGAGTTGGCACTATTCCAGAAAGACAGGTCATTTTTCTGGAAGCTGAAGCAGATCTACCTTTCATAATCATTCTTGGCCTGACTTTTTCTCCTCTTCCTCCTCTTCTGTACTTACCTTGAGGGGAGAAGTACAGAGACAGAGAGAGAAACATACAACAAAGCTGAGAGAGAGAGAGAGAGAGAGAGAGAGAGAGAGAGAGAGAGAGAGAGAACAAAGCCTACAAACTTATCCCTTTCATTAGTTACAGGGAGGATGGGCTGTATAGAAACATAGAAAGTTATAAAATATTGATCTTTTACCTTTAATTTCTTCATCCTTTTCTCTCATTGTTGATTGCTACTCCTTGAGTTTGTTCTTTATTTGTTGTTTGTCTGTCAAGCATGTATTAAGCATGTGTTAGGTGCCAGGCACTGGGGATTTGGTGGTGAGTGAGACAACTGCAGCCTCTATTGCCTCAGAGCCCACTGCCTCACCCAGACTGTTGCCAGGGTCCTGCTGTCTCTTGGCCTCTCCCACCTCACTTCTTCTTCCTGGGCTTCCTTCCAAGGTATCCTGCCTTATGTCAGTTTGGCGGTCTAACTTTTTATTGTTTATTGTTTGGTGGTATAACTTTTTATTGTTTATCTTTTCTTTAGTGGAGGAAGGAGAAAGTATGTGGGGTCTATGAACACTGCAGTGTAGTCCTGCTTATGACATGTGCTCCATTATATGTTGCATTATATTGTTTGTTGGTCGTTGAGCTCACAGAGGGCAGGGTCTGTGCCTAAGAACCATCTGTATCCCTGGGCCTGGTATGTCCCAGGCTCTACACACAGTTCAGTGACATGTATCTAAGTTTAACAGCAGTCTTATTTTGTGTGTGTGTGGGGGGTGGACTTTTATTCATTTCTTTTTGGTGACATGGTAGTTTTTCTCAGCACATGGGCATGTGAGGGGTGAGAGGCCCAGGCAGCAGCCGAGTCTACAACCTGAAGACCTTGGGCCACTTGGCTTAGCTACCACCCCACATTATGGAACTCACTGTGTTTCCTATACAGATGGCAGAGAAAATCTGCTATCTTAAGAGATAGGCTTTTAGTCTTAGATCACCAAGCCTCTTGGAATCTGTTTTCCTTATCTTTGAAGTGGAAACAAATCTACTTTGTGGAGTTGCTGTGAGGATCACAGCACACTGTCTATAAAGTGCTGTTACATTTCCTCATGACACCACAGTTGATTCTTATACTAGTATTCATGTAGTTCTCTTTTGAAATCGTTCATCATTAGATGCACCATCAATTGAGTAATGGAAGCCAGGGAACTAGGCTGTGTTAACCGCACATCTTGACCATATGCTAAAACTAGGTTTCCGAAGTGTTAGGATGAAAATGAAAATACTGAGAGGCCAAGGCAGGTGGCCCAACCTTGATGCAAAGGTACAGGGGCTATTGGGTCAGCAGCTGGTTCTAGACAGCAAGGACTCTTTCCTGTCTAGGAAGACACAGTGGCTGTCAGAGGAGCCATCTTTGTGATCATTGGGAAGTCACTTTACCCCTCTGCATCATTGAGGAGATGCTGATAGGACAGTCTTCACAGAGCACCTGCAAGAATAAAACTAGCCTAACAGACGAAGGGGTGCTGCAGAATGCGAGGCTGGCCTCTTTACTCACCTCTCAGGGCAGTTCACCTCCTGAGCTGTCCACTCTTGTGGGACCAGGATGCCTTTCCCAGCATTCCAGGATTCCCTTTGCCACAACTGACATTCATTTTACCACCTTTCAGGTTCTACTTCACAAACTGGCATGGAACCAATGACAATGAGCAGTCTGTATGGCGACATTCTCCAAAGAAGCAGAAAAATGGCTATGAGAAGAAAAAGGTTCCAGATGCAACCCCTCTCCTTGATGCCAGCTCGCTGGAGTACCTGTTTGCTCAGGTGAAAAGTTTGGGCCTGAGGGAACCAGGAGTTTATAGGGAGAGTGAGATGTTATAGGGCTCAAATTCCCTGTGCAGCTGAACTTGGTGGTGTTGGAATGCTTTATGGCCTGTTCTGCAGAAGTGCTGCTGCACCTAGACTTGCCCCAGGTGAGACGGAAAGGCTGTCCTACTTGTGGGTTTTCAGGCCTCACTTCTCTCTTCCCTTTTTCTTCCCTCTCTTTTTCCTTGTCATCTGTAGCATCTTACATGCAAAAGTCACAGGGAGGTATAATTGAGGGAAGGTATAGTTCAGTCAAGCTAATAAGGTACTTTTCAGCAAGGAGATGTCTGGGAGGAAGGAGATGGCCACTTTGTCACAGTGGTAGGAGACTGGGAAGATTTGATACTAGGAAAAAGCCAAAGAGAAGTTAGAATCACCTGAAATTACATTACCCTGAGATTGTTAGCATTTTGGATCACGTTTGCTGATTTTAACATGCAGATTTATATTATATACTATGTAGTTTTTGAATATAGTTTATTTGTGTCACTCTATAGGCCCTTTATTCATCCTATTTTTATTCATTCTATCATTTGCCTTGCAAATGTCCATTAAAATATTGATCTTTGTTGTTTTAATGGCTTCATAGTAATTCATTTATTCAACAGATATTTACTGAGTGTCTGGGTCCTGTTTGCCTCAGGTGCTTATACTTGTTGAGGTACTTGTTGACCATAGACATGGTCTCTGCATGCATCAGTTATTATCCAAGTTAGACAATAGAAAACAACAAGCATACAAAATGATACATGAAGGGATAGAAAGGCTCTTGTGATAGAGACATGGTGTGAAATTTGAATGGGGAGACCTAATTTAAATAGTGTGAACAGAGAAGGTCTCTTTAGGGAGATGACATTTATAATGAATCTTGAAGAATATAAAAGAGGCTGTAGTCTGAGAGAGGAGTAGAGGAAGTATTTCTTTGCTGTGGAGTTTCTCAATAGTTTCTGTCAGTAGTCAGTTGTTTCACCGCTGACATTTTGAGGTAGGTAATTCTTTGTTGTGACGAACTTCCCCGAATTGTGGGGTATTCACCAGCACCCCTGGCCTGTACCCACTAGATGCCAGCAGAATATATACCAGCACCTTACCCTCCTCACATTTGTAACAACCCAAAATGTCCTCAGACATTATCCACTATTCCTTTCGCCCTGATTGAAAACATCTGAGGAGAGGAGCTCATGTGGGGAGGTTCTGAGGCAGGTGGGAGCTAGAAGGAGAGTCACTTGGGAGAACATGAACAGGGTATTAGGAGAGGGGATGGTGAGGCAAACAGGCAGGTCCTGCAGAGCCTTGCATAAATTGGTAAGGGGTCATGTTTTTACCCTGGGTGCCAGTTGGAGGGTTTGATCTTATTAATGTTGTAAGTCAATGATGGTTCTGTTATATGTGGAAAGTGGATGTGCTGGACCCAAGGGTGCATCTCTCACATAGTAGCTGAGAGTCTGTAATTGTGGTCTAAGCAAGAGAAAATGCTGGTTTGGCTTAATGTAATGGCATTGGGGTTGGGGCAAAATGAATAGATCTGCCATTAATTTTGGAGGTAGAATTAGGCTGATTTGCTGATGGATTAGGTTTGGAAGATGAGAGAATCTGAGGACTCAGAGATGATTTCTAGGCGTCGTTTTGGGCAGTGTTGGATAGATGATGGAGTCATTCCCTACATATGGAAGACTGGGAGGAAGAGCCTGGGGAAGTGGTGGAAATGAGGGATTCTCTTTTGGAGAGGCTGATGAACACTCAAGTGGAGATTTTAGATAGAAAATTAAATAATGAGGAAAAGCCATCATTTATTTAAGTAATTAATTGTTTCTGGACATTTTTTAAAAAATATTTTTTAATTGTAGGTGGACACAATACCTTTATTTGTTTATTTAGTTTTTTTTTAACTTTATTTTATTTGTTGTTATTTTTATGTGGTGTTGGGGATCCATTCCAGGGCCTTACACATGCTAGGCAAATGCTCTACCACAGAGCCACAACCCCACCTGACATTTTGAGTTTTTCCGTAAGTTTTTTTAATGATGCTATCATTATGATAGGTTGTCATATATGAGTTTATATGAGCCTTATATGAGTTTCTGTACATGCCTATTATTTCCTTAGGATATACTTTTATGTCAAGAGTTATATTCCATTTTATATCAAAAGTTATATCCCATTGTAGCTTTGGTTACTAATAGTACTTTATTCCATGTATACCTTAAAATTGACTTTAGAGACACCATAAAAATGAGAAAATGCACAACCCTCAGGAAATAGTATTTGGGAAAAAAATCAGATCAGTCTTTTTGGATTCAATTTCTCAGTTTTATGAACACATATCTGAGATTTACTTATCTTTCTTTGGAGCAGACATATAAAAGAGCATTGTATTGTATTTGAAGGATGAAATATTGCATTAGAATTTGACCTTTGGGAGGCTTTTAGACCCAAGTTACTTAAGGTAGCTGCTGTATAACAAATATTCAAAGAAAATTGTAGCCAAAAACCAGTTTCAGATTTTGTTCTGTTCTTCACACATTGTTGGCATAGATTATTGTTATTGGTTCTTAAAAGTGTGTAGAACAGGTCAGTGACCCTTCCTCACCCCATCCCCTATGATGCTTGGCACTTGCAGTTGACTTTGCTTTTTGTAACTGTCTGATGTCAGATATTCCAGTTTTTTTTCCCCTTTCTCCTTATAATGTAATCTCCATGAGGTCAGAAACATGGTTTAGTTTATTTCTGCATCCCTTATGCCTAGAATAACATCTGGCCTATAATTGGTTCTCAGGAATTATCAAACTGAATGATAAGTGTGGGTAATGATGTTAATGCCATCTCAGAGGGCTGTTGTGAGGATCAAATGAAATAACAGGTGAAAGGAGCTAAGCACAGGATCTAGCAATGAGGTTAGGGGTTAATAAATACGAGCTGGTATTAGCATTGTCATCATTTCTGTGAAAGGCAGTGGTCGGCCTTTCTTTTTAGTCTTGGTTTAGTTTTTGTTTTTAAAGCTCCCATTGGTTCTTGGAGTGGAATGCACCCCCATCAGTGAGGGAGTTACTCTGATGATACAGTTCACTACTGCATATATGAACAGCAGATGTGGAACACACTTAGAAGAAGTTGAATGTGAATTCCTTCTTCTTTCGTAAACCTGCATCAGACTGGGAGGTGCTACCCTTGCTGACTTTATACACACAGTTCCTAGACTTGGATGTTTGTGGAATTAATGAATGATCAAACCTCAGCCCAATGTCACTTGCCTTGTTCTGGCACAGTTAATACCTAGCACACATTGCTTGTCAGCATTGTTTATATAAGCCTCATGAAGGAGCTTTGTGTTTGTACTCTTCACCAGTACCTAACATAGAGCTCAATAACTACTTGTTGAATTTGTTTTTACTCTTCACCAGTACCTAACATAGCACTCAATAACTACTTGTTGAATTTACTAGGGAGAACATCTCCTGAGCYTTTTCATGCCTAGTTTTGTTGAAAAAGAAGTTCAATGCTGCAGAAGCTATAAATGTGATTGATCTCATTACTGAACTGCTTTTCTGGGTAGCACCTTCTCATATGGAGTCCTTTCTTTCAAAATCAAATACAGGAGTGGGCTCTTAAAATTTAAGTGGGGGCTCATTTTCTTTTCTCATTTCTGCCCCCAAAGGGTCAGTATGATTTGGTCAAATGCCTGGCTCCCATTCGGGACCCCAAGACTGAGCAGGATGGGCATGATATTGAGAATGAGTGCCTGGGGATGGCTGTCTTGGCCATTTCGCACTATGCCATGATGAAGAAAGTACAATTGCCGGAACTTCCCAAGGACATCAGGTAAACTTTCTGCTGGCTAAATAGTGGACTGTGGGGCTGGTGTTAATTATACATGCTCTCACACATATTATTTAACTGCTACCCATGTTTGCCTGACTCCTGCTCGCCGCAGATTTTACCTAGAATATTTGTAAAAGATAACACACTTATAATTGTGTCTTGATTTTGAATGATGACTGATAATCTCAGAAATTTGTTCTAGGGTGAAATTTCTGGGCTGTAATACCAATCACATTAGTGACCTACCTTTGCTCCTTACCCACAGACATTGCCATCTGTCACTGTAGTTTTTCCTTTGGTGCTGAACCCATTTTAAATACATCTCAGTATGGCTGTACAAGCAGCTGCTACTACTACCCCTGTCTGAGCTCCCAAGGAGTTCTAGTAATTCACTAGGAAGCTGTTAAAATTCTTTTCTTAAGAAAATTATACTTACCTAAAGTAAAATTTGACATCAGTACTCAGTCTGTATAATTTTCACCCATCTGTGAAATCTGTTTCTTTTTTTCACCTGGGCTATTATGATTGTCACAAATGAAGACAATCTCATTTTTAGAGGAGAGGTGGCTGCATTATTGTGATGGGTTATAAGCACACATCTTGGGCTATTATGATTATCACAAATGAAGACAATCTCATTTTTAGAGGAGAGTTAGCTGCATTATTGTGATGGGTCATAAGCATACATCTTGTCATAAGGTTACTTCTTGGTTCTCATTGCCCTTGACCAGAGTCCTAGTTGCTCCTCAGTGCAGGAACTGATGAAACACATGCTGAATTGTGTTTACTTTTTTATGTGACTTTCGCTCTTTGTGTTTTCTCTTTATTTTTTTACAAGTCTGAAGTAAAAAATGATAGTTTTTCTTTAATTCTATTCTATTCTATTAATTTAAAAGAGAAATTAACCCTATTTGTTGAATATAAACCCCCCATTTAATAAGGTTCTTTGTTGTGAAATCATTCAGGCTGCAGGGATTACTCTGGGTCTAGTACTGTCTCAGACTTGGGGAAAACAAATGGACCATCTCCCCATTTGTTTGTCCCCCAGTGGACTTTCAGGGCATTCATGCTTTTCTTAAAACTGACTCCTGTTATTGCAGTATATTGGTTTGCCAAGATCCTGATATCATAGATCCTTTTCCATCAGTACCTGGATGGAAGAAATTAACATTTCAGCTTACTAGTTGATCTATTTAATAATATATTGTGGACTTATTTACATGGCAGACACTTTAAATCTTTGTATTTAATTAGGCTTTGTGTATGTTTTAAAAATTTTTTTTCTATGCTCTTTATAGAAAAATTATCAAACATACAAACAAATAGCACATACCAAAGCATCTATAATGTCACCTGGAGTTACTCCCTCTTGATGCCTTTCAGACTGTTTTCTAACTGATGCTCAGTCTTAACAGTATATACTATATGTGAGTACTAATGTACATAAGAACAGTGAAACAAAAATATAGATATGTCAATTTTGCTACCTGCGTTTGTGATCCAGAAAATTTGATAAAACCTGTAAGGATTCCTATTTTTGTAATGTTTTTGGAACAAGTACCTTTCTGTTCTCTCTCAGTCTTTATTCAGCTCCATCTTCTTAGGATTATCATCCATCTAAGGTCTTCTGGGAGTAGATCTTCCTTTTTCCTGTGGCAACACATGCAAGGAAGATTCATAGACTTAGGTTTGTTTCTATTTTCTGCTAATCTATATATGAAAAAGAGTTCAATTTTCATACTTTCTTTTAGCTACAAGCGATATATTCCAGAAACATTGAATAAATCCATCAGACAGAGGAACCTTCTCACCAGGATGCGGATAAATAATGTTTTCAAGGATTTCCTAAAGGAATTTAACAACAAGACCATTTGTGACAGCAGTGTGTCCCCTCATGACCTGAAGGTGAAATACCTGGCTACCTTGGAAACTTTGACAAAACATTATGGGGCTGAAATATTTGAGACTTCTATGTTATTAATTTCATCAGAAAATGAAATGAATTGGCTTCATTCAAATGACAGTGGAAGTGTTCTCTCCTATGAAGTGATGGTAACTGGAAATCTTGGAATCCAGTGGCGGCAGAAACCAAATGTAAGTGGCTGATTAAAGGGAACATAATGTGTGCTATTTAGCCTGCTGGAATTATCTGTTTATATGTCTGTTACTCTTCTAGACTGAGTTTATTTAAGTTATACACCATGTATTAGTCATCATCCTTGTAGCACAGATAAATATTTATTGAGTTTTGTAGGGAAATACAGATAATAACATATATAAAACACACTAATATAATAACAGTATACATTTGCTGAGTGCTTACCATGTGCAAGTACTTTTCTAAGCATTTAAAAAAAATTTTTTTTAGTCGTTGATAGACCTTTATTTTATTTATTTATATGTGGTACAGAGAATTGAACCCAATGCTTCACACATGCTAGGCAAATGCGCTACTGCTGAGCCACAGCCACAGCCCTCTAAGCATTTTATATATATTAGCTCATTTACTTCTAAAATTAAAAAAAATCTTCAAGGGGAATACTGCCGTCATCCCCATTTACAGACGAACTCAAAGAGAAACAGAGAAGTTAAGGAATATGCCTAAGGTCATAACTAAAAAACAGTTGAGGTAAGAATTGAACTTAAGCCTCTGTCTTCAAATTATAGAATAATTGATTTTTGCATTATGATGCTGCTTTATTGAGGTAAAGATGGATGAGGCAATAGAACAGAGTGGTCTAAGAGCATGGGTTTTAAACCTCAGGTGACCTGGTTCAAATTCTAGCTCCATGACTCATGATGATATGGCCTTGGGAGGATTATTTCACTTACATCAGGAACATATAACATCTGTTAAATGGAGGTACAATTATCTTTTAGTATCCACTGAGGGATTGGTTGCAACATCCTCTGCAGATATCCAAATATGCTACAGTCTCTTATATAAACTGACATAGTATGTACATATAATGCTCACAATCCTTTTGTATACTTTAATTATCTCTAATTATTTATAATACTTAATATTATGTAAATGCTATGTAAATACTTGTTATGCTGTACTGCTTTGGGGGTTAATATAATTTAAAAAATTATACGTTCAGCATGGACAGACCCATTGCCTTACATTTTTGGTCTTTGGCTGGTTGAATTTGTGATACGATTGCATAGTCATGGAACCCATGAATATGGAAGGCCAAGAATGCTTACTGTATCTAACTCATAGAGTTAGTAAGAACACTAAATGACATTTGGCATAGAACCTGGCATATAATAAATGTTGAATAAATTACTGTAGTGTTTTAGTCAACTTTTTCACTGCTGTGACTAAAGGACCCATCAGAACAATTGTAAAGGAGGAAAGGTTATTTGAAGGCTCAGTTTCAGAGGTCTTAGTCCACAGAAGGCCAGCTGTATTCATCAGAGCTTGAGGTGAGGCAGAACATTATGACGGGAGAGTATGGTGGAGGGAAACAGCTCACATGATGATTAGAAAGCAGAGGGGGGAAGGGAGGGTCTCTGCTTACCAGATACAAATATATACCCTAAGTTGCACATCCAATTCCCACCTTCTCCAGCCACACCCAACCACCCATTTATTCCCATCAGGGATCAATTCACTGATTAGATTAGGGCTTACCCAATAATTTCTCCTCCAAACCTTCTTGCATTGTCTCATAGGTGAGCTTTTAGGGGAGACCTCACACAAAACCATAACATTCAACTACTGTAAGTATTATTGTAAATAATAAGTTAAATGTGAGAATTTATTTTCTTATGTTTTATTCTAATGCTAAAATTACAATGCCTAACGTGTAACAAGGACTTTTTAGGTAGTAGGTACTTTGTTAATAAGCTGATTTGTTAATTACCTAGTCTTGAAGAAACTCTTGACAATGCAAACTCTCTCTTTTTTATGATTGGGGAAATGGTGGCTTAAAGAGATGATCTTACTAGTTAAATAACTGGCAGGAATAGGAACTTAACTAGAACTATAGTCTCCAGAGCCCATTCTACATAATATATTTAGACTTGTGTAGATTATTCAGATCTTCTCTTGAAAACGTCCACTTCAGTACTGTTAACAGATCAGGACAATTGATAGTAGAAGGAGAAAGCTCTTGTTCTGTCCAGTCGTGTTTGGGAAGAATGTGCTCTTTTCTCATATTGAAGCACATGTCAGATTGAAAGTGAGGTGGCCTGATTGTGGATACATGCCCAGAGGCGGTTATGGCCCCTGCCAAGTTTACATTGCACATTGTATATATCACATGAAGAGTTTAGTCAGTGTGCTCAAAGAGATCTCTTCCAGGTTTGAAATTCCAAGATTCCTTGATGTGACTCAGTTCTCTGGTCCTAAGCCCATAGCTCCCCTAGTTGCTGTGTATATCCAGACTTGCTAGCTTTCTCCTAGTCCCTGCATAAGGTTGCCAGAAACAAAATGAGAAAGCCAACTTAACCCTGTCACTTTTATGTATCTTATCAGGTTGTTCCGGTTGAAAAGGAAAAAAATAAACTGAAGCGAAAAAAACTGGAAAATAAACACAAGAAGGATGAGGAGAAAAATAAAATCCAGGAAGAATGGAATAATTTTTCTTATTTCCCTGAAATCACTCACATTGTAATCAAGGAGTCTATGGTCAGCATTAATAAGCAGGACAACAAAAAAATGGTAAGTACTCCGGAAGCTTTTCAGTCTGCATCTTGTGATGAGAGGAACACATTGCTAAGGACAGTTGTGCGGCATATGATCTTCAGTTCCTGTCCCAAAGGGAAAATCTGATGATTATCTGATTTAAGCCAAAAACCCTACATTGTGAGACATATTCAGTACCAGTTTTTAAGTTACACTGGTGCATTCTAGTGCTGTTCTTTGGTCTTGCAATTTGAATCTTAGGGTTTGTTGTTCACCCAAAGATTTTTCAGCATCAATATTTAATTCACAAATTTAGCAGATTTTAAGAAGATTAGTGAATATCAAAATTTTCACCAATGGCACCTTGTGGCCTCCCTGCTGAGTTGGTGGGTCCTCTGGGATGAAATGGGTGGGAGCACCCCTTGGCACCTCATCAGACCATGAGGCAAGTGGCAGACCACAGTGGTAGGGTGTCAGGCACACCCAGCCACTCTTGGATAGAAGAGGGGTGTTCAGCTGGGGTTGTAGCTTAATGATAGAACATTTGTTTGGCATCTGTGAGGCACTGGGTTTAATTCTCAGCCTCACATATAAATAAAATAAATAAAATGAGGTTCATTGACAAATAAAACAAATATTAAAAAAAAAAGAAGAGGGGTGTTCAATCTCACTTCCTCTTTTTTGGTATCACTTGAGGACATACTTTAGACAAGCAGGCCAGTTTGGCAGGGAAGTGGGAACTCTGCCAAAATAAACATGTTTTTATTGGGGGAAGTGACAGCTGACCACATGTGGAGAGGAAAGGCTGGTGAGACAGGGCATGCTCACAAAGCAAAGAGTCAGCACCAGGGGAATACCATGATTTGCCTGCAATTTGGTAAATACTGTGTAAAAAAGAAAACACCCATTGCTAAGGAAGAGCCTGGTGATATGATTTAAGAAACAGAGTCACTCACATCCACAGACACTTGTCTTTTTGACATAACCTTTAGGAGAGCAGCTTGCCAATATGTGTTAAAACCTAGAAAATATTTATATGTTTTTTCATTGGAATCTAGGGAATCTCTCTTCCAGAAGCAATATGAGATACAGGCAGCAGTTTATGAATGAGAATGTTTAGTCCAGCAATATTTACAGTGTCAGTTCTGAAAACAACCTAACTATACGATACTAGGAGATAGGAAAATAGGTTTCAGTTCACTTGAGTAGTAGAATATTATACAACCAAATTTCTGAATTGTGTATGATCTGGAAAAATGCCTTTGTTAATTAAAAAAAAGAATATAAAACATTACCTATAGACTGTTCTAATTTTGTTCAAAAAAAATTTTAAGAGGAGCATACATTCTCTCAGAAAAATAATCAAACATTAATAGCTATTTACTTAGGAATAGAAGTAGCTTTAATCATCTTATTCTGGCTTCTTCTTCTTCTTCTTCTTTTTTTTTTTTTTTTAACAAAACCAACCAACAAAACCCCAGGCATTAATTTATTAAGAAACATAAAAGCAAAGTGAAGGGAGAATTAGAAAAGGCCAGAGTAATGATGGTGGAAAGAAAGAGAGAGAGAGAGAAAAAATAATACTATAAATACTATTTATTGAGCATATTATGGATATCAGATTCTGTTATAATGCTATAAACATTAATGTGTTATTAATCCTTACAATATTAAGGTCCTAAGCCTATGTTATTTAGTCCTTGAAAGAACCTTAGATGGAAGGATATTGGCTATATTTCAAATGGGAAACCTGAGACTGATTGAGAGGCATAGAAACTTGTAGTGTCACACAGTGAGGAAACAGCAGGACTTTCCAGTACCGTCTGGCCACAAGCTATGATTTTTGCCTGTTTTTCTTTGATTTCTGAGGCATTATCATACCCCAGGGACTCTGAGGGAATGAGGGAGAAGTTGGCATCTCTGTAGTATGGCTCTTCATTGTGGCCAAATCCTTAAGACACCTGGCAGAAGAGAAGCAGCAGACAGGGTACATATTTTATGAGCTTCCCCAACTCTGCCCAGGCTGACAATCATATCTAGCACACTGTTGGTGTTCCCATCCTCTAAATCACACCTTACCTGCCAGCTCTGCCAAGTTACAGTGCCGTGGTGGGCATGGGAGCTCCTTCACATACACTAGCCCTTACAGGTGCCAGGCATTTCCTATTCAGAATACTTTACAGATCGCAACTCTTTCAATTTTCATATCAACTCTATGAGTGTGTAGGTTACTCTCCCCATTTCACAAAGGGGGAAACTGAGATACAGAGAAGTTGAAGTATCATGCCAAGGACATGCAGAAATTAGGTTAAATCATTTGAAGTTGCCAATATTTGACCATTTTTAAAATTTGTTCTTATTAGTTATACATGACAGTTGAATCATTTTGACATATCATACATAAATGGAATGTAACTTCTCATTCTTCTGGTTATACATGATATAGAATCATACCGGTTGTGTAATCATATATGCATAGGGTAATAATGCCTGATTCATTCTACTATCCTTCCTACTCCCATACCCCATCTCCTCCCTTTACTCCTCTCTGTCTAATCCAAAGTGCCTCTGTTTTTCCCTAACCACACCCCCCACAATTGTGAATTACCATCTTCATATTAGAGAAAACATTCAGCCTTTGGTTTTTTGGGATTGGCATATTTTGCTTAGCATGATATTCTCCAGCTCCATTAATAATTTCACTCTTCTTTAAGTCTGAGTAATATTACATTGTGTACACATACACATTTTCTTTATCCATTTACCTGTTGAAGGGCATGTAGGTTGGTTCCATAGTTTAGCTATTGTGAATTGAGCTGCTGTAAACATTGATGTGGCTGCATAACTATAGTATACTGATTTTAGATCCTTTGGATCAAGGTTCCATTCCAAGTTTTCTGAGGTCTCTCCATACCACTTTCCGTAATGGTTGCACCAATTTGCAGTCCCACCAGCATTGTGTGAATGTACCTTTTCCCTCACATCCTTGACAATGTTTATTGTTCCTTGTATTCTTGATAACTGCCATTCTGCCTGGAGTGAGATAAAATCTTAGAGTAGTTTTGAATTGCATTTCTTTAATTGCTAGAGATGATGAACATTTTTTCATATATTTGTTGATTGATTCTTATTCTTTGAAGTGTGTGTTCAGTTTCTTAGCCCATTTATTGATTGAGTTTTTTGTTTTTATAAAAACAGTACATACTCTTAAACCTACAGCAGGTGGAGATGTGAGATTTGACCCAGACAGTCTAGCTTCAGAGCCTGGGGATCAGCCACAATTCAATGCTGCTATTTAGATATCTCACTTCCCTGGCCCTTCCCAGCCCTTTGCTGCTGCTTTTTAAGGAAAGCATGATGCCAGCCTGTTATTAAATCCTATCTTGATTTATTACTTTCTTCTGTATCTCTTTGACATCTTCCTTTTCTATTTATAACTCTGCTCTCAGGAAACTCTTGTGCTTATGTGGTCTTGATTATCATGTGGTGGGTGAGGACCCACCTCGGCCAGCCCTAGCACTCACTTTAGAGCATCTTCAATTTGATTTTCCAGGAATATTTGCAGTGGATGCCAGGTCACACCTGAGAGGAGGTCCCCTTCCTGAGGTGCTGTGGTCTTGCCCTCTTTTGGCCTCCTTGGCTCACAGCCCAGGGCACCCTTCCATTGGTATCACAGTGGTCACCAGCCCCCCTTACTTCTCTCCTGATTGGCTGCTTTCACCTACCCACCTTTCTCCCCTACACTGGTCTTATTTGTCTGTCACCAGCCATTCATTTCTTCAGTGCTGTGGAAAAAACTGTAGTCAAATGAGTCTTCCCTGCCCGCAACCCTGCATGCACAGGCACAATGTCCCTTCATCTGATGGTACCCATTAAGATAATGGATGAGAAAGTGTGCTAACCATCAAGGCCTATATAAGTACAAGGGAAACAGTACATATCAACAAAGAGAGTTTTCTTGAGGGGCCATACATTCTGTGTTGTTTAAACATCTTCTCACTGTGTACCCTGCCGTATAGTCAGCCACTTACTGATGGTAGCTGCGTGATGTAACTGGCAATGTCTTCTCTTTTACAGGAACTGAAGCTTTCTTCCCATGAGGAGGCCTTGTCCTTTGTGTCCCTGGTTGATGGCTACTTCCGGCTCACAGCAGATGCCCATCATTACCTCTGCACTGATGTAGCTCCCCCATTGATAGTCCACAACATACAGAATGGCTGCCATGGTCCAATCTGGTTGGTTCTGGAATGCTTTCATTTGCCTTTGGTGGGAAGTGAAAAGAGAGCACATTTTAGTGGCAGGAAGTCTGGTCTCCTCAGTCCCAGGTGTTATCTGTTGTTTATGCTGGGGCACTCACTCCCTATTTTCCATCCCTGCTGAGCTTTGGCCAGGCCTTCCGTCATCTACCTTAATCCTTGCAGCAGCCCCTCAACTCCTCTCCTACTTGGTTTTTTACCCTCAGTTCATCCCCCTCACTTCTCTAGAGCTGAGCAAAGCTTCCCCTTTTTAATAGTCCCTATCCCTTGTCAAACCCTGTATGCGAGCCAAGAAAAATAAGATGCAGATCTGAGCATCAGACAGTAAACACAATGCTGAGTCTATTTGTCTTTAAGTGCCAGAGGAATGGCAGACAGCCTTAAGACCAGAAGGGCTTTGTGAAATGTCTTAGTCCACCTGCATCTCAGAATTGGTAACCTATACCTAGATAACTCTGATGATGGGGTACTGAGTACTACACAGGCAGCCAGTAGATTGTCACTCTTATAGGGTCAGATGTGCATCCCTTTCTGAAAGGGTGTTGCACTTGCGCTCTCTTTAACTCCTCTTTTCTCTCTGTGCTCTGCCGAGGAGTCAACAGGGGTTCATTGTACTTCCGCTTACCTGTGACTGTCCTTAGACGAGGGACACAGTTGCCCTGTTTCTGTAAATTCAGGAAACTGTCTCTTCAGTTGTTTTCCATGTGATATGATTTCTACCTTCTTCCTACCCCAGTTACCTTGGGACGGGTAGTTTGGTGGCAGTGTGGTTCCTGGACTAGAGAGTTTTCTCACTGGAGAAGACACACACAAAAAATTATGAAGCAAGGAACTGCATGCCACAAAAGTGTCTTCCTCCAGTGTCCCACCCAGGGCCCTGGCATTTGCTTTTCTTTGCTGGGAGTGTTCTTCCTATAGGATCTAGTAGGCCGCTTTAGTTACTGGGGATATAGCAATAAACAAAATAGCCCCAAATGCCCACTCCACAAGGCTCATATTCCAGTTAGGCTGGGAAAGGAAGGCTGAGGATAGGATTCCTTTTCTTTATTATTGGCAGCTCTTTATCACAGCCTTAGGGGACACTCTTCTAGTGAGAACCAGAGACATCATCTCTGGGGAACCTGGGGATAAGCAGGTCTCAGTGGCTTAGGAGACAGCAGGCTGAGTCCTCTTCTCAGTGCTATAGATTCCATCCATCCCCTGGCTCCTCAGTATCTCCATGTGTATCATGTCAGAACCTTAGAACCCTGGGCAGCTCTTATAAGACTAGAGGCTCTGGGAAGTGGAGACCCTAGGGTCTAAAGTGCTATGGTGTGAGCTCTCTCTCTTTGCCCACTTCCCTCTCCAGCACAGAATATGCCATCAATAAACTGCGGCAAGAAGGGAACGAGGAGGGAATGTAYGTGCTGAGGTGGAGCTGCACCGACTTTGACAACATCCTCATGACTGTCACCTGCTTTGAAAAGTCTGAGGTCAGTCTGAACACTGGCATGGGCCAAGTCATATGGTCACAGGGGATCCAGAGCAACCTGTTCCAGGATCTGTTGCAGACAGAACCACTCTTGGCCAGGTTGGGAAAGCCTGTGTCTCTAAGAAAATCCCTGGAGGATCTTTCAGGGAGCACCCCATTTTCAGAAGGAGTTTGCTCCTGAGCACCAGACTCCATGTTCTTTGCTCTCCCCGCCCTTCCTTCCTCCCAAGGCAGGGGCACACTGTGGCTCTGGAAGGCAGAACATGACCAGAAAACCAATTCACACAGGACACCTGTGATCTGAAGTATGGGATGACCTGGAGTGGTTTGTTTTAGGTTCAGTACCAGGATCATTACAGACCTGGAACTGTGTCTGTCTACAGCATTCTGTGACATGAACAAGTGCCTAAGCATGGCCTAACAATTTTCCCCAAATGATAGTTTCAGACATTGTAACAAAAAAGTTGGTGTCCCGTGTTTTGACAATGAGTAAGTGTCTATTAGACATTCAAATGTGGCTGGAATCTGAGAATGATATGAGAGGAATCCCAAATGCTAAGATTTTAGTCAGAATTAGTATTAAGTATTTTTATTGTTCATCCATTTTTTTTCCCAAATGCAAAGGGGAATATTTTAGAAAATAATGAGTTTTATAAAGTTTGACCACATATATTTACTAGTCCTGGCTGAGCTCAACTTGAACTGGGAGAACTGAGGAGAGAGAGGAGCGTTTGAGTTGTAAGTCAGCCATTMTATACAATAGACTTCAGACATGGGAAGGAAAAGCACAAGAGAACCCCTGGGAACTGGACTCTTGTCAAGAGTGGAAAAAGGAAATGGCAGAAGGAACCCAGTGCTACCAAGTGTCCTGGGCAAAGTCCCAGGGGCCATTGCCTGCCTAGGGGTGTTCCCATACAGCTGGGCCTCAGGGTTGATACCAGCTTTATGGTTCAGAACTTGTCAGTCTTGTTGCCTTCACAGGATGCCTATTCATCAGTTTTTGAAGGAAGTTTAATATTTATAAGATGAATGGGCACATGAGACAGCCCAACTTCCTTCTGAGAAAGAATCCACCTGTGCTGTACCAAGGAGATCAGTCAGTGATTGTGTGACCTGCATTGGGAAAGGAGCACTCACAGATATGACTAATCTTTCTGCTTATCCTAGCTCACTAGGCACTGTGCTAAACATTTTACCTATATGTTCTTAGGTAAGATTTACAATGGCCTTTTGAGATAGGCAAGGTTATCCCATTATACAGATGAAGTAACTGAGGCATTAAGATTTTAAATAAATATCATGTCCTACTTTACACAATAAGTAGATCTTCCTGGCTCTCATTCTTAACCACTAAGATAGTTTTCTTTGTACAGAAAGAGTCCATGAAGGACAACTTCTGCTTATACTTCCCTTTCTGTGGTACCATAGAACCTTAAACCTGGATAGACAGACAGCCAAATACCAGCTCCCAGTATAGTTCTCAGGTACATTTATGGTGTGGAAGGGCTTAGTTTGTAGGAGTTCCTGGATGAATTTTTCTATTGTAATTCTTATTTCATGCATAGAATTTGCTAACCTTGATAAAGTGCATACTAAGTTTGAAAATGTACCATATCATTTAGCCATAGTACTATGAGGTTGGTAGTTTTTTTATTTTTTAGTTTTAGTTGGACACAATACCTTTATTTCATTTAGTTATTTTTATGTGGTGCTGAGGATTGAACCCAGGGTCTCGCACTTGCGAGATAAACGCTTTACTGCTGAGCCACAACCCCAACCCCCAAGGTTGGTGTTTTCATGAACTTAAATTTACAGGTAGGTAAACAAAACAAAGCAAAACAAAACAAACAAACAAACAAAAAAACAAGTTATGCTTCTGTAGAAATAATTGTTCTGTGGGCCATAGTGTAAACTCTCTTTTATTAGTGCTGCCTTCTAGATCCCAATTTTATTATTTACTTATTTGTTGGTTGGTTTATTAATTGTAAAATTTTATTTTCAAATAATTTTAGAAGTACATAAATGTTACAGAGATGGTTCATAGTTTCTGTACTCTTCCTCAGTATTCCCTAATGTTAATATCTTACATTCCCATGGTACATTTATCTGGGCACCATTCTTAATAGTAATTTCTGGTCATTTTTCTGAATAGCAGGTGCTGGGTACCCATAAGCAATTCAAGAATTTTCAGATCGAGGTACAGAAGGGCCGCTATAGCCTGCATGGCTCAGATCGCAACTTCCCCACCCTGGAAGGCCTCATGAGCCACCTCAAGAAGCAGATCCTGCGCACAGACAACATCAGCTTTGTGCTGAAACGCTGCTGCCAGCCCAAGCCTCGAGGTTTGTCTTTCTGTGCATCCCCTCAGTGATGTCTTGTGCCCCTTGTTAATGCTTCAAGACTCAGATGGACCAAAAGATGTTGCCTGGTTAAAGAGAATGGTCCTTTCCCACAGGCTCTAGGTATTTTTCTTTGAGTTTTCTTACAAGTCTGCCCCCAACTCAAATCTTACCTCTTGAGTGTTAGCATTTTCTTTAGAAAAGATATATACTTTATTTTAGTCAGCTTTTTCACTGCTGTGATCAAAAGCCCTGTCAAGAACAGAGAAGCTTATTTTGGGGCTCATGGTTTCAGAGATCTCAGTCCATAGATGGTAGACTTCATTCCTCAGGGCCCAAGGTAAGGTAGAACATTGTGGCAGAAGTGTTTGGCAGAGGAAAGCAGCTGGTACCAGGAAGCGGAGAGAGACTCCCCTCAACACAGACAAAGTATAAACCCCAAAGGCATACCCCACATGACCTCCCTCCTCCAGCCACACCCTACCTACCTACAGTTGTCCCTCGGTTAATCCCTATCAGTGGATTAATATATTGGTTAAGACTCTTACAACCTAATCATTTCACCTCTTAACTTTCTTGCATTGGTTTGCACATGAGCTTTTGGGGAACACCTAAATCTAACCATAACACATTTTTTTCTTAAGATCTTAGCTGGGCTGCACAAAGAAGCATATTCAGGATTAGTAAGCAGAAACTTATTTCTTTGCTTTCTAAAAAGATGAAGTGTCTTGAGAAATCCCCGTGTCATTGGTTTATTTATATGAGAAATGTTCCTGGCACATTTTCTGTGGGCCAAGAACTGTGATAATGTGGGCTGGGGAGGTGGCTCAAGCAGCAATGTGCTCACCTGGCATGTGTGGGGCGCTGGGTTCGATCCTCAGCACCACATACAAATAAAGAGATGTTGTGTCCACCGAAAACTAAAAATAAACATTAAAAAAAAAAGAACTGTGATAATGTAAAGAATCAGAAATACCTAAGACCCAACCCCTGCTCTTTTGAGGATTTCCAGGCCAATGCAGAAAATGTTACAGGTAAGTGATGCCATTGTTGTATGTGATGGGCATTTAAATTAGCCCACATATATGGTACGTTTGGAGGCAGAAAGGGATGTACAGCATCCCTGAGTTGTAGCATGTCAGACTGTGTGGAGGAGGCATATCTTGAACTGTGTGTTAGATGATAAGCTAGAGGTGCCAGATAGGTGAGGGTACGTCCCTCCCTAACAGAACCAGGAGCATGTTCAGGGTACAGTGAAGGTCAATGTGGGGGCTATAGGAAGACTCTGGGGAGGGGGATGCTGATGTGAAGGTGGAGACATAAAGAAGGGTGGTTAGATATTAGATCATAAGAGGTCTTGGTTGCTTACCAAGAGCTGGGACTTTATTCAGTAGGCAGCAATAGGAGGCCATRGAAGGATCAAGGGGTAAAATCAGTGTACAGGGTGAAGGAACCAGCTGTTCCTTTTAAAGCCACATGAACTGTGATGTTCCAAAGAATTCATTGTCTTTCAGAGTGTGAGAATGGGAAGGACACTTTAGGGGTCAAGAGTCTCATTTTGTAGTGGCGGGTATTGGGGATTGAATTCAGGGGCACTTGACCACTGAGCCACATCCCAGCCCTATTTTGTATTTTATTTAGAGGCAGGGTTTCTCATTGAGTTGCATAGTACCTTGTGTTTTTCTGAGTATGGCTTTGAACTTGTGACCCGCCTGTCTCAGCCTCCTGAGCTGCTGGGATTAGGGGCATATGCCACCACGCCTGGCAAGAACCTCATTTTATAGATAAGAAAACGGAGAAGTGAAGTTGATCTCTTTGAAGGTCAAGGTCAGAGAAGGGTTTGAGTGCCAGGTTTAACCTGAATGCCAGATTCCACAAGTGTTGGGTTTTTGTTGTTCCCCATCCTTGCATGGGTCAGATATCCTTCTCTCAGAAGAGTTAGGCCTCCAAGTAGGGGCTACATCATGTTCCCAAGTAAGCATCAACAGAAGATCCTTGGAGGAACCCTGTTGTTCGAGATCATCTTGTTTTTTTAAGGGAATTGTCTATGAGCCTTCATGACATGGGTAGGCAGAGCAAACAGCGTCAGAACACAAAAGGGGCCTGGTTCTTGATGTTTGAATCATGTTTTGGTCTCAGCCAGGAGCTTGTCACTGAACTTGGTGAAAGAGGAAGGACTTGTATTTTTGTTGATCAGATAGGGTTTCCTACCAGCCTTGGGGATAATTGAAGCCTTTATTTTTATGCTTGAAGATGTTCTGCAGGGGCAAAACATATCTGCCAGTTGGCTGTGAGACCTCAAAACATGTTGAAACCTTAAAATACAATGACTCCTTTACTCACGTAATCTGTTCTTACAGATAATAAAAGGAGGTTTGACTTTTCTAGTGCTTTAGAGTCTCTAGGTGAGGATGAGGAAGTGGAGAACAGTATCAACAGGAGTGGAGAAGGCTGGAGTCTAGGATGTGATTTCTTTTTTTTCTTTTTAAAAATTTGTTCTTTTTAGATGTATGTGACAGTACATTCTATTTTGTCACATTAAACATACACGGAGTATAACTTCTAATTAGGATCCTATTCTGTGGTTGTACGTGATGTGGGGTTAAACTGATCTTGTATTCATATACAAAGTAGGAAAGTTAGATTAATTCTACTGTCTTTCTTATTCCCCTCCTCTCTCCCTTCTCTTTATTCCCCTTTGTCTAATCCAATGGACTTATATTCTCCCCACCCTCCCTTGTTGTCATGGATTAGCATCCACATATTAGAGAGAACATTTGGACTTTAGTTTTTTGGAACTGGCTTATTTCACTTAGCATGATAGTCTCCAGTTCCATCCATTTACTGGCAAATGCCATAATTTCATTCTTCTTTATGGCTGAGTAATATTCCATTGTGTATATATACCACATTCTCTTTATCCATTCATCCATTGAAGGACACCCAGGTTGGTTCCATAGCTTGGCTATTGTGAATTGAGCTGCCATAAATATCAATGTGTCTGCATCACTGTAATATGCTGATTTGAGTCCTTTAGATATAAACCAAGGAGTGGGATAACTGGGTCAAATGGTGGTTCCATTCCAAGTTTTCTAAAGAATCCCCATACTGCTTTCCTTAGTGTTTGCACCAATTTGCAATCTCATAAGCAATGTATGAGTACCTTTTTCCTCCATCCTCACCAGTATTTATTGTTACTCGTAGTCTTGACAATTGCCATTCTTACTGGAATAAGATAGAATCTCAGGAAAGTTTTAATTTGTATGTCTCTAATTGCTAGAGATGTTGAATGTGTTTTCATATATTTTTTTGAACATTCATATTTCTTCTTTTGTGATGTGCTTGTTCAGTTCCATAGCCCATTTATTGATTGGGTTGTTTTTTGGTGTTAAGTTTTTTGAGTTCTTTATATTTCCTGGAGATTAATGATCTATCTGAGGTGCAGGTGGCAAAGATTTTCTCCCATTCTGGAAGCTCTGTGTTCACATTCTTGATTGTTTCCTTTTCTGTGAAGAAGCTTTTTAGTTTGATGTCATCCCATTTATTGATTCTCGATTTTCCTTCTTGTGCTTTAGGAGTCTTATGAGGAAGTCAGTTCCTAAGCCAATATGATGGAGAGTTGGGCCTACTTTTTCTTCTAACAAGCACAGGGTCTGTGGTCTAATGCCTAGGTCCTTGATCCACTTTGAGTTTTGTGCAGGGTGAGAGAGAGGAGTCTCATTTCATTTTGTTACATGTGGATTTCCAGTTTTCCCCAGCACCATTTGTAGAAGAGGCTATCTTTTCTCCAATGTATGTTTATGGTGCCTTCATCTAGTATGCGATAACCATATTTATGTGGGTATGTCTCTGTGTCTTCTGTTCCATTGGTCTTTGTGTCTGTTTTTTTTTTTTTTGCCAATACCATGCTGTTTTTGTTACTATAGCTCTGTAGTAGAATTTAAAGTCTTGTATTGTGATGCCTCCTGCATCACTTTTCTCACCAAGGATTGCTTTGGCTATTCCTGGCCTCTTATTTTTCCAAGTGAACTTCATGGCGGTTTTTTCTATTTCTATGAAGAACATCATTGGAATTTTAACAGGCATTGCATTAAATCTGTATAACACTTTTGGTAATATGGCCATTTTGATAATATTAATTCTGCCTATCCAAGAATGTGGGGAAATCTTTCTGTTTTCTGAGGGCTTCTTGAATTTCTTTCTTTAGTGTTCTATAGTTTTTAATTGTGGATATTTTTTACCTCTTTTGTTAGATTGACTCCCAAGTATTTTATTTATTTTATTTTTTTAAGGCTATTTTGAATGGGATAGTTTTCCTGATTTCTCTTTCAGTTAACTCGTCATTGGTGTATAGGAACACAATTGATTTATGTGTGTTGATTTTATACCCTGCTAACTTGCTGAATTTGTTTATGAGTTCTACAAGCTTCTGGTGGAGTTTTTTGGGTCTTCTAAATATAGAATCATTTCATAGGCAAATAGGGATAGTTTGAGCTCTTCTTTTCTTATTCATATCTCTTTAATTTCTTTCTTTTGTCCAATTGCTCTAGCTAGTGGTTTGAGAACTTTGTTGAATAGGACTGGTACAAGAGAGCATAGGATGTGATTTCTTTACACAGTTCTAGTGAGGAGGCCTCTGATGTAGCTGCCACCTCTGTAGCCCAGATCTGGGAGCCAGTAGCTGTGGAGGAAGAAGCATAGAAACAGAATTGCATCTCTCTCACATGGCCTCTGTTGGGGCTCCTGAAACTCAGCTCAAGGGTCTTTAGTGTCTGCCTTTACATTTGCTTATGAACTCTCAAGATAGGATCTGGGTCGCACTCACCACTCTGTAACTCATGAGAAGCACAGGGCCCAGCAAAGAGTCAGTGACCTCAATATGCATCAAGTGATAATTGTGGCAGTATCTATCATGTAATATTGATATGATAGATATGATATGATAGTAGGTGGGCACCTATCTACTTTGTCCCAGGCAATTATCATGCATATTTCATTTCTTTCATCATCATACTAGTTCTTTATAGCTATTGTAAAGGTGAGGAAATTGAGTCTCAGGCATGTTCAGTTTCTTGCTCAAGGTTTCATGGCTAACAATATCAGAAGTAGTTATAATAGTGGCCATAAATCATAATATTAATGGTTACCTTATTAATAAAGCTTATAGTTTACCAGATGCTGTGTGACAGGCTTTCATATTTTAAGTCTTTTAATCCTCAAAACAACCCGGTTGTATGTTGTTATCCCTATTATACTTGGCCAGGGTCCACTTAGGTAAGAGGGTGAGTGGGGATTTTAACTCACCTTGTGTGACTCTAGGTCAATTAATTCCAATCTCTGATTCCTGCCCACCACGTCATTTTGTCTTTGCAGAGATGCAGGTTCAGTCAGCCTGACTCCTGGGCAGAGGCCAGTTCTTCTGATATTGAAGGCAAGGACAGACGTGTGCCTGGTGGTGGGGAGAAGAAGGAGGAGGCTGCTATATGAGGCTTAGACTCCTTTTTCTTCCATCTCCCATCTGCAAATTAGAGAAGTTGTAAAATCTTGAAAATGTGACAGGAGAGTGTCATTTTGGGTTGTTCATCTCCTTTGCTATCCTAACCACAGACTACCAACAGCCACACACCCTGATCTGAAATTCTTACTTGAAAATGCAACCAAGAAATTCATCATGAGATAAATAAAGGCAAAGTGAAAAAACAGGATGCTACTCAGAATTGGTATGATGGCTAAGCAAAGCCACCATCTCTGTCCTTTGTCCAGCCCAATGCCCATATCCACGTGTGAGGGTGACTGTGGTAAAAGTATGTAAAGATCCGCCACCATCCTCACATACTCTCATCTGCGCAGGCAGGTGTGGTGCTTGACTTCTCTTTCCTTCAGCTCTGATGGAAAGGACTTCACAGTCTGTTTTAGGCAGCCTTTTCACTGCTGTGACTAAAAGACCCAACCAGACAACCAGAACAAATATAGAGGAGGAAGAGTTAATTTGGGGGGGGGGGCGGTCATGGTTTCAAATGTCCCAGTCCATAGAAGTCCAGTTCCATTCCTCAGGTCTCGAGGTGAGGCTGAACATCATGGCGGAGGAATGTGGCAGAGGGAAGCAGCTCACATGATGATCAGAAAGCAGAAAGAGAGGTCTCCACTTGCCAGATATAAATATGTACCCCAAAGCCATGCTCCCAATGCCCACCTCCTCCAGCCACACCCTACCCACCTTTAGTTACTCAGTTAATCCCTATCAGGGGATTAATTCACTGGTTGGGTTAAGACTGTCACAGCCCAATCATTTCTCCTCTGAACCTTCTTGCACTGTTTCACATGTGAGCTTTTGGGGAACACCTCACACTTAAACCATAACATCATCTGCTACACAAGGCCGGGCCACCCTGATGGTGACTGGTCATAATGACAGTGGCTAGTAGTGATGAAATTTTTGCTGCACATAGGTACTAGAGAAAGCCCTTGTTGTGTATTATCTCATCTGTCCCCTATAATGACCTAATGAGGGCTCAACTGGTACCTTCATTTTCTAGTGAGAAAACAGGTTCATGGAGGTAAAATGGCTTCCCTGCAGCACCCATACCAATAGCCAGCCCATGAACAGCCCCTTTTCTACCTTCCTAACTTCCCATGTGGCTCTGCTGCCTAGCCTCTGCCTTGTGGACACCATTCTGGTGGCCGTTTTTTGCTGCCTTCCCTCCCTTAGGGCAGCCCTGTGATACATGTTTAAATGGGATTTTGCCCAGGGAACAGGGTGGAGTCAGGAAAATAGTATGGAAGGAGTAGCCTCTGAAAAACATAGTAGCCAAGATGTGGTGACAAGGGGAGCCTTTGCCTGCAGCCAGTTTCTGTAACTCATATTTGTTCCCCCACTGTGGCAAGCCATGTTTTGGGAAGATAAAAGACTAGAGAGGTCTCTAACTTCTGTGTGACTCCTGTGTCTGAGATTTGTGAGCTACATCATTGTGACRGGTCATTTGATCTCTTTGAGTCTCCTTTTCTTGATTTATAAGAGGTAACGGGAGTTGAACTTCTCAGGATTGTCAAGAGAACAGAGGAGTTAGTGTGAGCAATGCTCTAAGAGCAGTGATCAGCACAGAGAAACCAGTCAGAAAATGTGAGCTTAAAATAGAAAAGTTGGGGGAATGCTACTCTGCAGGGAGTGAGGATTTCGGGGACTGCATTGGAGTCCTAGGGCCTACATGGGGACCAGGCGCTCATTAGCTATTGCTTGCCAGTTTATCTGTGCAACCTCTGTGGACCTGCCTCATAATTCCTATAGATGTTTTGATTGAGAATCTCCTTTATCAGAATCTAAGAATCTAGACTCAAATGGCTGTATTTTCTCCTCAAACTCTTTCCTGTCTTCTACTGAAGGAAAGCAGAAGGGGGAAAAGCATTTGAGTCATCACTTCCCTAATGGCTGTGCTTTAGCTAAAATAAACACATACATTCAGTGACCATGTCTGTGTCACAGGGGTTCCCCTGGGGGACAGTACTGTGTCTGCAAGGTCTTCACTTCTCCCAAAGCTACTTCATGGCTTCAAATTGTGGACTATAAACTCCCAGTCAGCCACTAGTGCCCTGGCTTGGTGCACTATCATGTCAAGTTGCTATTTGAATTAGTAGGATTTGGGGAATGGTTCACTGCTAACCTGCATATTCAGGGAGCGTTGGGAGGTACCTCCTTGGTGCTAGCACTGCTGAACCCAGAGAGGCTTAGACAAGACTTTCTTCTAGGTCGCCTTTCCTTTCCTTACATAAAACCATTAAAAACCCCTTTCGAGGATTCCAGCACTCCTTAGGCCCAAAACTTCTGCCTCTCTCCTCAGCTCTTTTCCATCAAGTAGCCCCCAGTTGTTCTTTCATACATTGGACAAATATTTGCTGAGGACTTGGGGTATAGCTCAGTTCTTGCCTAGCATGCACCAGGCCCTGGGTTCAATCACCAGCACCATGAATACAAACAAAAACCAAATACTCGTTGAGCATCCATCATGTATCAGGCTGTGGAAGTAGAGCAGAAAATAAAATAGACACATGCCCTGACTACTTGAAGTTTCCATTCTTACATTTAAATTTTAATTTCCTTAGGGAAACCCTCCCTGATCTTAGGGACAGTCCTGCTGTATGGACTTTGAAGCATGTTGGGTCTGTCCTGTAGATTAGCTGGACAAATTGTAGCTTTCCATATGATTGGCTGATTATTTGGTTAGTTTTGACTCTATTATTAGTCTCTGAGTTTCTTGAGAGCATGAATTAAGTACTTACCCATAAATTATTTGTTAAGTGAATCAAAAAGGCACACAACTCTGTTCAGCAATCCCCAGAGCTTAGCACACATTGGCTGGCTGGGTCTATGCTTAGACTTCTCCAATCTCTTCCACAGAAATCTCCAATCTGTTGGTGGCCACCAAGAAGGCCCAGGAGTGGCAGCCTGTCTACCCCATGAGCCAGCTGAGCTTTGACCGGATCCTCAAGAAAGATATTGTTCAAGTGAGTCGTTGCCACAGGGGTGCAGCTTTGGTTCTGGCTCCCCACAGGAAAGCAGGCTGGATATTTGCTGGGGGGTGGGATGACAGATTTAGTCTGGGTTTGGGGAAATTATAGTAGAAAAAGAAAAAGGGTCTTTCCTTCACAGTTAAAGGAATTCACCTAGCATTATACCTCCTACCTGCCTTGCTGATACTTCTCATAGACACTTGGCCTTGAAGAAAGATTGGTCAAGGTTCATGGGGTCACCTGGAGTAGAAGGATTTTTGGTTGTGAGGGAGCATTAATGGGCATCAGGAGCTGGTCTCCACAGGGAAGCCTGGACTGAAGTCCCTTGCTACCCCATAATGTGCTATGTGAAAGCGTTTCTAGATTTTATTCCTGTTCTTTCTGCTGGTGCTTCCAGAAGGAGCAGAGCTGTGAGAACAAAGAACACAATGAGGTGACAGGGTAAAAACTAGCTTGAGAAATGGACCCAGCATGGGGACTCAGATCAGTGTCCCAATCTTTGGAGGCCTTTTCCCCAGAATCTACTGCCTTAGGCAGGCCCAGAGCACCCGAGGTTTTGGCTGGGGATGTGAAGCCCAGAACAAATCCTGCTTTCTGCTAGCTACCCCTTTCCCCAGCCCTGTTAGATAGAGCCAGGGGATGGAGTGTCAAAGCAGAGCACATGCCAGCAGCCTTAGAGAGAAGGAATTAGTAACACTGTTAGTTAGTTTCTGGAAGAGACTAACACCTTGGCAGGCAGGAGGACAAGTCATGGGCTCACTGCTGTGAAGGAACCTGGGGGAGGGTGGCAGACCTAGATCCTTTTGTTAGTGAACCTTTTTAAGTGAATCCAGATTTCTTCACTGAAGGTCCACCAGTGTTGTTCTCTGTTCCTCTGGTGATGGTGAGAGCTGTGTCCTAAGATTAAAATCACCAGAGCTTTAGTTCTGTAGCCTATTTTCAGTCTAGAACTTGACACAGTACTTGGGGCCTGCCCTCTTTCACTGCTTTTGAGTCTCTGAGATGATAACTGTCATATTCCATGCCTTCTACATCCATTTAGCCAATAGTGACAAAGCATTTACACATGACAGTCACTACCCTCAATAGACTTGCAGTCCAGCAAGAGGAGATGGACTTTTGTCTGCCTTAAGTGGATAATTATGAAGAGACAAATCTTAATGTAGTCAAGTACAGCAAAATATGGGAACATCACCTAGTACTGGGAGGATAGCATGTCCTTCTGGGGGAAGGAGCAGCAAAGTAGAGTCCTAGAGGATGAGCAGCAAGTAAATGTGCAGAGGTAGAAGGAACAGTGGAGGCGGATGCTGGAGTGGACATGTGGGGGCCTTTGTAGGTTGCTGAGGGATCCTGACAATATGGTGCCAAGACCTGGCCACTGAAATAAGTAACCCTTCTGAGTAAGAGCAATTATTCTAAAAGCATAGGGCTTTTACCGGATGTTCTGGGAATACAGCTTTCTATAACCTTGATGGATCACTTCATGACAGATGCAGCTTTAATGAATAGTCATAGGACCTTGCCAGATACAGCAGATAGTGTAGATATACGGCCATTCTGCTGTGACAGATGACAAATGGTAGTGTTTGTGATAATTAATATACATGGTCAACGATTTGTTTCTGGAGGGATAATTCCTTAGATATCTGCAACAATCCATTTTCTGCATTTTTAAGTAGTCCTAGGATCATAGAATAATACCGCTTTGATTTACAAGTTTTGTGGGGCTAATGTCGACAGCTCAATATTGCATAAGTTTCATGAATCATGCTTTGATTTCCAAATATTAAGAATTTAAAAAATCTGAAGTTGGAAGCTTAAACTGGAAGGATCCTTAGGTCATATGGTAAGGGTTTTGCACGAGTGATCTCATTTAATCCTCCTGCCACTCACTTGACTTCTTTCATGTGTGAGGAAGCTGAGGGCCCATCCTTGTAGCAATACCTCCATCTTTACACCTACTCCTCTGCTATGGGGTAGCTGGGCCAAATGCAGGCATAACTTGTATCACTACTTTTAGAGCTTAGTCTGCATGCCCATGTACACACACACTGGATAGGTGGATGGGAATGAATGCTTCCACTATGAGACATAGCAACCACTTGGCCTAGAAGACTCCCAGGCAAAATACATTGGTCCAGTGATGGGTTTCTACCCCACACTTTATACCTAGTACTTTTTTTTGATTCTTAGAACAACCTTATCAGGTAAGAGCCATTTTTATCCCTATTTACAGAGAACAGGCAAGGTTACACATGGTGAAGGAATGATCCCGAGTTAACAGCTAATAAGCAGTAAAGCAAGGAGTTTCAAGTCCATTCACTTTGTCCCCCAGCCTGAGAGTGGAGGAGTAACCTAGTTGGGTCCTCCCTGTGTTTGTTGTGGAGCCCTAAGGTGGGACAGATATGGCTGACTGTTGATGAGATCTTGCAGTTTAGTGATAGGTCAGGATTGGTTTTAGCCACTGGCTAGTCTTCAAGGTAGAAAGCAAGAAGATGTTAGGGAATATGGGGACTCTTTGGGGACCCAGGAACTGCCAAACTGTATTTGGCCAAGCTGCTTTTTGTTTCCTCTGGGGACCGGATGGGGACAAACCTCCAGAAGCTGTGAGCTTTGGGGCTTTTTTTTTTTTTTTTTTTTGCCTTTGCCCCATCCTGTCCATGTTGAGTTCTCTACATTCTTCCCTAAATCTGGACACCATACAACCATGAGAGCTGTCACCTAACCTTCTGCTTCCTTCATCAGGGTGATCACCTTGGCAGAGGCACAAGAACACACATCTACTCTGGGACCTTGGTAGATTACAAGGACGATGAAGGGGCTGCTGAAGAGAAGAGAATAAAAGTGATCCTCAAAGTCTTAGACCCCAGCCACAGGGACATTTCTCTGGCAAGTGCTTCCCCTATTTCTGGGAAAAGTGCGGTGGGTTGAGAAGAACCTTTGCCCTTGGTTTGGGCTAGTGGTTCTCACACTTGTCTTTCAGTCAGAATTCCTCTCTTTAATACAGTCTCAGACCTTGTGTGTAGAATAAGTGATGGAGGGTCGAAGATGAGGTGGGTTGGGCAGCCTCTCACACTTGGCCTGTCCCCTCGCTTCCCTCCCCACTACTAGGCCTGTGTGCAGTACTGTAGAGTTCTGGGACAAGCTGAGTGGTCTCAGAGTTCCTAATATAGCCCAAGGCCCCCACTGGAAAACAAATCTCAGAGGATTCATATGACTTACCCAGGATTTCACAGGATCCAGGATGTTGGAGGGAAACAGCCAAATTGGGAGTGGAGATTTGCTATCTTGGTTTCCCTCTTATTTGTCTTTATTTTTTTTAATATTTTTCAGTTATATGGCACACAATGTCTTCATTTTACTTTATGTGGTGCTGAGGATTGAACTCAGTGCCTCATGCATGCTAGGCAAATGCTGTACCTCTGAGCCACAACCACAGCCCTCCCTTTTATTCTAATGTAGTGTTAAACATTGTTTTCCCTAAAAGGACCAGAGGTAGGCAAGAGTATCTGATGGGAAGACTGTCAGCTTGTCCCAACAACCTTGCTGTGCAACCTGTTGGATTTTCTAAGTAAATCCCACATCCTAGCCAGATTGGCCTAGAGGTCAAGGCTTGATAATGCCTCTAATGAGTTAGGGCCAGGGGATCAGTTTTTAGGACCTGGGGTATTGTCAGTGGTGAGCTTTCCTGGCAGCGAGGGTGGGGTGGGGTGGGGGTGGGTGGTTCATGGGTTTTCCCCCAACAGTGGAGGCTGACCCCAGGTATACTTTTGTCCCATTTTTCCTCAGGCCTTCTTTGAAGCAGCCAGCATGATGAGACAGGTCTCCCACAAACACATTGTGTACCTCTATGGCGTCTGTGTCCGAGATGTGGAAAGTGAGTGTGTCCCCTCACAGGCTGGCCCTGGCTGGGAGTGTGGATACTGTAAAGACCCTGGAGGGTAGGGGTTGCTGATTCCTCCCTTATGGTACCCAGGATTCTTGCTTTTTGGCAATTGAAGAAATCAAGGTATTCAGCAAGCTATTTGTATAAGTCAATGGTGGTGCCTGTGGAACTAAAACCATTTTCAGTCATTTCTTGAATACTTGCTTCTCATCACTCTGGGCCCACACTGTGCTAGACCAAGAGGTTGAGGTAAGATGAGGCCATCTCTCTGAAAGAGTAGTAAGAATTGGGGTGGTGAAAGCAGAGTGTAAGCCCAAGCAGCTGGATGGCCTGTTGAGACTGGCTGCCTTTAACCACCAACAGTTCTACCTTCTTTTGATGGCAGGCTGTAGAGGGGTGGGTCTTCAGCCACTGCTATTCACCTGTCTTGGGGCTGAAGCCTCCAGAAACAGATGGCATCTGCCTGAATTTCTGACATAAATTTGGAAGAACTTTCATTTAACCACGAGCATATTTCTATGGAATGCAGTAGTGTGGGCTGTTCTTACGTGAGTCCTGCTGAGAGGGACCTTTTGTCACTCGAGTGACCTGACCTCTGTATGGCAGTGTGTGGTAAGAGTAGCAATAGGCTGGGCATGGTGGCACATGCTTATAATTCCAGGGGATTGGGAGGCTTAGACAGAAGGATCGTAAGTTCAAAGCTAGCCTTAGCAATTTAGCAAGGCCCTAAGCAACTCAGTGAGACCCTGTCTGTAAATAAAATACAATAAAGATCTGGGGATGTGGCTCAGTGGTTAAGTGCCCTTGAGTTCAGTCACTGGCACCAAAAAACAAGTAGCAATAGTGGCAGCACTGTTCTCAGAGCCCTTGTTCTGTGTGGTCAGGTACTTAATCAAGGCTTTCCATACCTCATTACGTTTGGCCCTCCCCATTTACACCTCTTGTGAGGTGTAGGTATTGCTATCTCTGAATTTACAGATGAGGGATCTGAGACTCAAAGAGGTTGTCACTTGCTCAAGATCACCCAGATTAGTGGAAGAGCATGGGGTTGAACCCAGGTCTGTCCAACTCTGAAGTACTCTGTCACTTGTATCTCCCAAGGATATCTGTGTAAGTTGACACAGTACTGTCCATTAAAGAGGGCTCTTATAAGGGGATGAGGCAAAATACTGTCCTGGACAGACCTAAGTTCCAGATGTGGCTGTTTTCATACCTATAGATATCATGGTGGAAGAGTATGTGGAGGGGGGACCCCTGGATCTCTTTATGCATCGGAAAAGCGATGTCCTCACTACACCATGGAAATTCAAAGTTGCCAAACAGCTGGCCAGTGCCCTGAGTTACTTGGTAAGAATATTCTCATAATGKGGTAATCTCCAGCAGAAACCAGAATGCTCCTGTGGGGGTGGCAGGAGGCAGGTGCTGGTAAGCAAGTGGGAGACCCTGTGCTTGGGTTCCAGGCACCAGGGCTCTTTGGTTGAACACAGAAGTGTCTGGTACTTAGTGAAGATAGTAATTTGAGCTGTTCTGCAGGCACTGAGGAATCCTGTTTAGAAGAAAATGGTATCGTGCCAGAGGTGTCTGACGCAGCATGCGGACTGGCTAGGAATAGTGCAGGGCTTGCTGAGGGAATGAGTGCAACTACTGGCATTCATCAGCGAGAACATTATTGGGTGCTATCCTGGATAGCTATTGCCGTTTTATAGATTTTAGTCACTTTAATCTTCACAAAGCCCTATGAGACATGCTCCACTATTATCTCCCTTTCACTGATGAGAAAACTGAAGTCAGGGAACATTATATGATGTGAAAAAGTGATGCAGATCATTGGTGCAAAGGCTAGGCTATGGAGCCTGGCTGTGGCTTGGAGCCAGAGATGATCTGATGGGCATGGTTGGAAACAGGGAATATGGGGAGGAAAGATAAGCACCTTATCAAATGTCCCTATTTTATAGGAAGATAAAGACCTGGTCCATGGAAATGTGTGTACCAAAAATCTCCTCCTGGCCCGTGAGGGCATTGACAGTGAAATTGGCCCATTCATCAAGCTTAGTGACCCTGGAATCCCTGTCACTGTACTGTCAAGGCAAGGTGAGTTGTCCCCGCAACCCCACAGCCATTCACTCTAAGCCAGAGATCTAGCTGGCAGGGAGAAAGGTCTTGACTGGGTCAGGCCTCCCTTTAGAATGGGTCAGCAAACAGGTGTCTGGTGCTCCTTTCTCCTAGGCCCTGCATGGGAATATGGAGCCACAGGAGGGTAGTTCCTGATAGCCCAGCTGAGGCTGTCAGATCCCCATGGTAAAGGCCCCATGATCAAGGGACTGGGGTAGTACATGGGGCTATGGACTCCAGACAGTGGTCAGAGAGATGCCAGAGCAGAAGTTAGGCCTTCTGGGTCCTTCTCCATATTCTCCTGGAACTCCACTGTAGCCAGCGAGCATTTTGGGGGGCACCCCAGCCTATTTTATCAAGTGATTGCTGTGGTCTCACATCCTTACTGTGAATTAGGTTGTGCAGAGTTGCAGTCTTTAAAGGAAAGGGCAGTCCCAGGAGCTGAGACTGAAACCTATGCCAAACAGGTCTTGCTGTGTATCCTAACCTGGTAGGCCACATGAGGGGACCAGTGTGTCCTAGGTCCTCGATCTGGTGTCCTCTAATGGCCTCTGCTGTCTTTATCATTGATTTTGATCAACTCAGCATATTGAGTTTTGCTCTATGATTTAATCAAAGAGTAGACAAAATTTGGAGAGGATGGATGAAAAAACAATCCTTGCAAATGAGACTTGATCCTCTGCTCCTTGGAAGGGCATGGGAAACATCCTTTGGTACCTGTTGGATGCTTATCATGTGGCCATTGCCCAACAGTTCTGAGGCAGAGATACCCCTGGGGCTGGTAAGGGTCCTATCCTGAAGGTCTAAGACACTGATGTTTCTTGAACAAGCAGAGTAGCCAGAGACCCAGTAGTGCCCATGAAATGCAGTAGGGACCCAGACCTGGGAGAAAGATCATCCAACTGAAACAGAGTGATTCAAGGAGCTGATGAGATTTCATCTGGGTTTGCAGGTCAGCAAGGTAGCTAGAGCAAGGGACCAGAGGCACATCTTTTAAGGACACCAGGGGCACGTGCTGTGCCAGGAAGGACATGAGAGGGCTGTATGGTCAGTTAGGCCTGTGCCTGAGTGCTGGGCTCAGGAGCCACCCTCCTTCCCAGGGCAGCTTGGAAGCTGCTCTGTACAGGCTACTAAGTTTGCTGATAGGCATTTTCATGGATGTGACAGGGGTCTCTGCTGAGATTTCTGTCTCTGACCTTGGTTAGAAGCCAGAAACAGGTCACAGAGATTGCCAAGAGAAAGGGATATGAGACTTCTTTGCCTCAGTCTTTTCTCATCCTTTCCCCAAATGAAGAAAAGCCAACATAAAACATAACAACACAGCTGAGAAATGGTCTGTGGAATGTGCAAGCTGCTCTTTGTGTTGTCCTCATCTCTCTGCTGCCTTTTCTTTCCTGAACCTTTGTTCACATGATCTCCTGATGCCATCAATCCCCAATGATGGCCTACCTGGGGAATGCTCTGCTATCTCTGAGGCTAGGGCTTCCGAAGACTGACTGCTCATGTCCCTCCTGGGGAGGATGTGATGAACGAAGCTATCTGCTGCTGGCCTAATCAGACTGATATATCAGAAGTGCCAGGGGCAAGGCATGGAAGGCAGTGCATCTTACCAGCTCCCCCTGGGACTCGTGGCCAGTCCATGTTTGCCAGAAAGTTTTCATTAACTCAGGTTCTTGCTGTTTTGACAATGTTTAGCTTTCCACGTGATCCCAGAAGCTGATTTGTAAAGTCTTTTCTTTCTCTAGAGTGCATAGAACGAATCCCATGGATTGCTCCAGAGTGTGTTGAAGACTCCAAGAACCTGAGTGTGGCTGCTGACAAATGGAGCTTTGGTACCACACTCTGGGAAATCTGCTATAATGGCGAGATCCCCCTGAAAGATAAGACTCTGATTGAGGTAAGCAGTTGTTTCCCAGGGAATATGGTAGGTGAGATTCACTAAACAGGGACTGCCCAGAAGTTAGGAAGCCTCATGCTATGGGAAGAGATGGACTTGAGTTGAGTCTTTCCAATAGACTTGCTGGCTATGTGATCTCACGAATGTAACTTCACTTCCCTAAGCCTCGGTTTCATCATCTATAAAATGGAGGTAAATAAAAATTATTTTGGGCTCCTTGTGAAAAGTAACAAAATATGTAGAGTGACAGACATACAATCAGTATTGAGAAGACTGTTAATGTATTATTTATCTGAGTTTTTAAGTGCCTGTTATTCAACAAAATGAACACACAAGTGTCTACTGAGTACCAGGTAAAGGATCCTAGGTGAAAGCTGGGGCTCACCATAAAGTAGACATGGGCCTTGCCTTCCCTGGAGGATATTAGGAGGTGGAAGGGGAGTTAGGCTAAAATAAAGATACTAAGGTTCCAAGATGGTATCTAGCACCCTGGGGGGGTCTAGCTACAGGTTAGAAGCTGGAAGGCAGTGATTTCACTTTAATTTTTTTAAATGGCAGCAATAGTTTATTTCTGAATTTTAAAACAATAATATTTGAAGAAAATTTTGAGAACACTGGAAACAATTTTTTTTTAAAAGTCGCCCATAAGATACCTGATCACTGTTAACACATTGACTTAGTCTTCCAGTCTATTCATATCATTTTTAAATAAAATTTGGTCACTGCTAGATATAGTTATATATTCCACATTTTAAATTTTAACATTGTGAGTACTTTCCTATTCAATTCAAAAGTCATAAATTTTTATAAATTTGAGTTAACTTGTTTTAACTCTAATTTACTTAACTAATTTTATATTTGACGTTTTTGTTGTTTTCAAATTTCCAGTATTCTAATTCTGCAGGGAATACTTTTGTACATAAGTCTTTGCTCATATCCAGTTTATTTCTGAGTCATTCAATAATTGGAATTAATGATTCAGAGCTTGAAGAATCTGAAGGTTGAAATACAAATTGCCACACTGTATTCCAGAAAGGCTGCCTGACTTCACTGGAATGCAGTGTCTAGGGATTGGGATGTATTGCCCTGTCTTTCTTGAATTTGGATTACTTTAGTATTAGGACTGAGACTTCCTCATGCTGGAATAAGGCCAGAGTAACACATATGTTTATAAAGTCCACCTTTCAGGAGAGATGCCAGGAATTAATTAAGGTAATTACTTCTCACCTGAGATGACAGGGTTTGAGGGTGGTTCCTTAGTTTTTTCCAAGTGTCCCTCTTCTTTACAGAAAGAGAGATTCTATGAAAGCCGGTGCAGGCCAGTGACACCATCATGCAAGGAGCTGGCTGACCTTATGACCCGCTGCATGAACTATGACCCCAATCAGAGACCCTTCTTCCGAGCCATTATGAGGGACATTAACAAGCTCGAAGAGCAAAGTAAGATGTTGTCCGATGCTTAACTGGGATCATTCACAACCCTGGAGAGCAATTGGGGGAAGTGGGGAGATGAGTGGGAGCCCAGAAGCTGCAATCCCTAACCATCAGTTACCTTTTTTAAAATTGGTTTTCTTTTCTATTAGATCCAGACATTGTTTCAGAAAAAAAACCAGCAACTGAGGTGGATCCCACACATTTTGAAAAGCGCTTCCTGAAGAGGATCCGTGACTTGGGAGAGGTAAGTTGCACCTGGTGCTTGCTGCTGCTCTGGCTGCAGCTCTGGCTGCAACTTCTGCTTGCACATCACCTCTCTGCATAAAGTCACCTCCTGTTCTCCCTTACTTTATAAGATAAAGAACATTTCTGCATTTTGGAGGCCACTTTTAGCATGCCCCACTTGACCCACACGCCTGCCAGGATGCACATTTCTGCCTGCATGTGTGACTATGCATATACACAGGATGCTGGTCTGCTCCCAGGAGAGACGAGTTTTCTCTGTGGAGCAGAAGGGATTAGATGCAGATATGGAGGAAATAGAAAAATCTCTGTCGCTGACTTTGGGGAATAAGTTCCCTGCGAAGCTCTTTAACCTGTTAAGTCCAAATTTTCAATTCTGTGAGCATAATAATTATTTCAAAGTTACCAAAAGTGGTATATTTGTTGCTTAAGTTTTTATAGGTGTTCCACATCTGGGACAATGAGACAAAAATGGGTTAAATGAGGGATTGATGTACTACACAGAGTGCCAAAATAGACTCTCAAACTTTCTTCCTTTGGACCTTGAATGGGAGTTTCCAACAGTTAATATGACAAGGGAGGCTCCTGTGATCTATGTCTTTACACAGATCTTCTATTGTTAATTGAATGAAGAGTGGCATATCTTGAGTAGCCACTGTGTGCTATCATCTGTGCTGGGCAGTTTCACAAGCACAGTCCTCACAGCATCCCCCAGAATACTTGTTACTATTGTATACAGAAAGCACAGTAGGACTCAGGATGATTGTGTGGCAGGGCCAGCCAATATCACCATTAGGTAGCTTGGCTGGGGTCTGATGCCATAGCTTCTGAAGATTCCTTGTGCACAGCTGCACTGTGGTGCCTGCCTGTAGAATGGGCTCTGGGTTCTCAGAGGACTCCACAGTTTTCTACAGGTCCAGATATGTCCTTCATCATTTTTTGGGTTACTTTTTCTTTGAAATTGGGATTGATGTGTGGGTTCATCAGTCACCTGTTACTTTGTCTTATCTCAATTACAGAGGAAGTGAGGCCAGGAGAGGAAGGGGGTTGTGGTAGGTGGTGGAATCCAGGTGAGAGCCTTCTATCAGCAGAGGTCTGAGCAGCTATTGACCCCTGGCCTTCAGGGGAACAGCTATGAGGAGTAAGACTTATTTTCTAAGTGTGTTCCAGTACAGCCTGGGGCTTCTTATAATAGTACGTACATTTTTTTCTCTAGGGCCACTTTGGGAAGGTTGAGCTCTGCAGGTATGACCCAGAGGGGGATAACACAGGGGAGCAGGTAGCTGTCAAATCCCTGAAGCCTGAGAGTGGAGGTAACCACATTGCTGATCTGAAGAAGGAAATAGAAATCTTAAGGAATCTCTATCATGAGAACATCGTGAAGTACAAAGGAATCTGCACTGAAGATGGTACGTTGCACACAGTGGGGTCTGATTTAAAGACTAAGTGACTGTTATAGTCATAAGGCCAGTGCAAAGCAGGCAGGCCTCGGCCTCATCTAGGTCATCTGAACATACTGGCTGTGGCTTCCATAGGCTGGCAGGGCTTCCAGGTTGCATGCTGTCAAATCCCATAGCAGCTTCTGGGGAAGTACACCGCCTCCCTCCCAGCCAAAGCATGGTTCCAGCCTCGTCTTTCCAAGGGTTCACACACTCATGCTGTGTACTAGACTGTACCCACCCAGATATCTACACTGATGCCATATGGAGTGAATGACCTTCCTCACTCCCTTTCCCCATTCTTCTGATCCAGTCCCAGGCAGGGCATCTTGTTCTATGCTTATCTAAGTCAAGATGACAAATGGTATTCAATGGTAGTAGTGTTTACTAATACTTGTATCTTATTTGTCAGCCAGTATTCCACTGAGGTATATCCTTTAAAGCYACTAGTGAAAGAACTTGGCCCATAAAATTATTATTTGCCTAGTGGATTACAGAGTACTCAGGCTGTTATCCTAGCGATGCTTGTGGATGAGGTAGGAACCTAAGTGTTAAGATTTTTTCTCTGTTGAGGGCCCTGTAATGCAGAGGTTAGGAGTTGGTATGTGCTCGGGCAAGTCCTCTGACCCATGTCCCGTGTTCTTTCCTCTTTGGCAGCCTCATACTGATGTTTTTTTCTCCCAACAGGAGGAAATGGTATCAAGCTCATCATGGAGTTTCTGCCTTCTGGAAGCCTTAAGGAATATCTTCCAAAGAATAAGAACAAAATTAACCTTAAACAGCAGCTAAAATATGCTGTTCAGATTTGTAAGGTAAAAAAAGAAAGCATGTTTAAAAAAAAAAAAACAGGCATTCTTCCCTAGTAAATTTTTTTGTAATTTAATTTTAAGACAAGTGGGAAACTTTGTAATAATTATACTGAGTTATTTTGCTCTGTATTATTGGGATGAGAAATGAGCTTTTACTCTGAAAGTGAACAGATGTATGAAGTGTGACTGCTTGAATGTGAATTTCTTTGAGTCAGTTGATCTTACTATTTTTGCTTAAAAATACAAATCAAAAAACTGTTATGTGAATGAAATGACATTTCTTTTTCTTATGAAGTTATACAAAATCCATCTGAATGATTTTTAACAACGTGTTTTGTCTTTATTTCTCTACTAGGGAATGGACTATTTGGGTTCTCGGCAATATGTTCACCGGGACTTAGCAGCAAGAAATGTCCTTGTTGAGAGTGAACACCAAGTGAAAATTGGAGACTTTGGTTTAACCAAAGCAATTGAAACTGATAAGGAGTACTACACCGTCAAAGATGACCGGGACAGCCCTGTGTTTTGGTAACTGAGTCAGACAATTAGAGTTTAGACAATTTGAGTGATGCAGGGTTTACACCATTTTAAGTTCTTTCTGGCTATGCTAATGCCTCATTCCTCTGGCCTGAATCAAGAGAGGATTAGAACAGTTTGAATTGATTTATATTTACCTTCAAGAAACACCAGTCAGGCTGAAAAGCAGCCTGTGCAAATGCCTGAGCTTGGATGGCACCATCTTCCAAGGAATGGGAGCCGTCTCATTACCAGCTCAGCATTTCCGGCTCCCATCTGCACAGTTCTCACAACTATGAGCAGGTGGAGGGATGCCTGGAGGGCAGGTGGGAAGAAGGGACAAGATGTGACAAGGTGGGCATCGAGTAGTTAGGGAAATCCTGGACAGAGCAAGTGATGGAAGGGACGCTTGACAATCTCTCATGAGGCACCAGTCATCCTGGTTAGAAGGCCACATACTGACCACAGCCCCCCTCAGTTGYTTTGATCTCTACACCATCCCCTGTAAGACTGATCAACACTCAAGGTATGCTGCACAGATACAGGCAGACCTCTCACACCTGCAAAACCTGAACCTTTGCTCACTAATACAAAACAGTGTGTCTCAGGGCCCACCCTTCATGCCAGAGATTTGGAGACCAAGCAGATAGGTACAGAGTGAGGCAGCCAATGTGAAGGAACAGTTAGCACAGAGGGGTTCCAGCTTGGTTTTCTGGAAGTCTTGAGTGTTTAGATGAAGGGGGCATGTGTGACTAATAGGAATGAGAGAGTACCTGAGATAAACTCAGCATGGGTAAACATGAAGGGTCAGGAGGTTTTCAGAGGGTGGCTAAGTCAGAGCTCTGGAAAGGGAGTTCTGCAGCAAACACTCCATTCCTAGAGCAGTGGGATACCATTGTAGGATTGAAGGATACAAATTATTTTTTAAGAAGATAACCATGGAGGAAAGCAAGATTGGAGCCAGGGAGTCTGATTTAGCTATAGTGAACTAGGACAGTGATCAAGATAGTGAGAATTAAGTAGATTTGAAGAGTGTTTAGGAAATTAGATACAGAATGCCTTAATATCTGGCTTGGGCAATTGGGTGTCATTCACCAAAACAGATAACATTGGAAGAGGATAGGCTGGTGAGGTCCCTGCTGATCTAGGAGCCTGTAGGAATCAAACCTGGGGCTTGTTTTCTTGTGACCTCCTCCTCTACAGGAAGTACATGGGTCAGACACAAAGAGTGCAGACTAGTCTTATTTGGGGGCAAATACATGCTACTAAGAACCTGTAAAGTATAGTAGCACATATGTACATAATACATACTAGATGCCTGTAAGGATCGAAGAGGTGACTTTTATGAGCTAATCTGTAATTTTTGTTGAAGTAGCTCTGCCATGAATTGAAGGCTCACATTCTTTATTTCAGGTACGCTCCAGAATGTTTAATTCAGTGTAAATTTTATATTGCCTCTGATGTCTGGTCTTTTGGAGTGACTCTGCATGAGCTGCTTACTTACTGTGATTCAGAGTCTAGTCCAATGGCTGTAAGTCTTAACTTTTCTCTTCATCTGAATACAGAACCCAACTAAAATATGTCCATGCCTGTGCTTTGTAAGTTTTGCTTTTAAATGGAATTAAGTCAGTATACTATATTGGAAAGATAAAAGTCCACTTTTCTATCTTTTCTATCAGTGAGTCTCTCAAGTTTGGTTTTCATAAGGAACTCAAAGTTATACTGGATGATCCGACTTTCCAGGGTCTGTCTTATCTGTGAGAGTTTGTGCCTTGTTAATTTCTAAATGCGATCATCTTCATGAAACAGCCTCCTTGGCTAGCAGAATCTAAGACACTGATTCCAGATTAACTGTTGAGAGCTAGTAAGGATTTTGGATTTTTATTTAACATTGCTTAAGGAAAAAAACATTTTTATTGTTACTTTAATTTCCAGTTAATTCTAGAAGTTGTACTTTAATCTGCTTAATTTTTATACGAGTGTATGCAAAGTAAACATTTTGTTTGGTTTTATTTTACATAGTTGTTCCTGAAAATGATAGGCCCAACTCAAGGCCAGATGACAGTAACAAGACTTGTGAACACGCTGAAAGAAGGAAAACGTTTACCATGCCCGCCTAACTGTCCTGATAAGGTATTTATCTTTCCATAGCTCAAGATATCCAGCAAGGAAGTGAGGAGATGGAGTAGAAACCACCTGTAAAATAGTTTTCTGAGTCTGAGACATCTAAGGAATCATCTTTGGTGTGGATGATAGTAATGTTCAATGCAAGTACTCTCTCCAGAAAGAGGCTCCTTTCCATGCTTGTCCACACACCCCCCCCCCAAGGAAGTTTTGGTAGCCTTATTATGAAAAATATATATAATTGTACTTTTGTGTGTAATTTTATCCCACTTAATAACAGCATTTATAATGTTTATTCTGTTTTTAATACTCTAAAATTAATTGAGGCTTTCAGTCTCAACTCCTTAGACCACTTAGATACACTGGATAGAATAAGTCCAAGAGTGAGATGGCCAGTGGCAAGACGGAGTCTAAACATAAGGGTTGGTAGTGACATGGACTCTGCTGAAGGGCAGTCAGCCATGAGCTTCTCAGATGTTAGTACCATTTATGAACTGCAGTTATGAATATTTCCTATTTTTTAAATAATTGAAATTTTTTTTACTCTTAAGAAAATAATTTCCTTATAGTTCCAAAATTATTTCCTTACGCTTGATATTTCTATAATTTTTTTGAAAAGCTTCCAAACATAACAATATTTTTACTATGACTACAGTTTTTGTTTTTACTTTTTATAGGTTTATCAACTTATGAGAAAATGCTGGGAATTACAACCATCCAATCGGACAACCTTTCAGAGCCTTATTGAAGGATTTGAAGCACTTTTAAAATACGAAGCATGAATATCATCTAAATTCCACTGTTTGTTGATAAAGTAATCCTCCCCCAACAAATACCCAAGCCATTTTTTAAAAATTTTTTTATGGAAAAAGTTTGTGTTCTAACAATATAGTCAACAAGTCCTTGAGCACGTGCACATGTGTACAGCACACTGTGGTGCTCAGCATGGATAAAAACTTCTTTTCAATTCAGCCTCTCTCAAACTTAGTGACAAATGACAACAAAGATACCTAGAAAGCACTTAAGCACTCCTCCCTTTGGAAAGAATGTCCCACTCACTGTTTCATTTAGATAGTTTACTGACATAATTAAATACCAAAATGGGATTTGTGAAAATAAGAGGAACTGACCAAAGTAATGTCTCAAGATGATTGCTGTTCCCAGCTGCCAGCTGATCTGAAATGTTTTTCTGGCACATTAATCTTAGACAAAAATTGATGGACTTAGGTGATACTCTTAACATACCCTCAGATTTCAATATCTAGACAGTGATAGACCAAGCATTCTTAAAATAGTAGATACCAGTTAGTATACTATTGTTTCCTTACCAAAAAAAAAAAAGTAGGTATTCCTGTCACCAGTAAGACTGAAATATCAAGCTGTTTTTTCAGTGGCTCAGTTGCTGGTCCCTTGATTGACTACTGGGTACCCATTGTTGAGCAACCTGGTTCTGCACAGGAGCCAGCGTGGAAATAGATACTCTGCTGCATGTTATTATTTCTTGAGAACTAAGCCTGGGCCAGTGCTTTCCTAAGCAGTCAACTTTTATCAGACAGACTTTGCAAACCTGGATGCTATTAGACATGCTTTTAAGAAACATCAGCGCATATCCTTTTATAACTCTACCACTTTGGGGCAAGCTGTTCCAACATTGGTTTTGGATGCTGTATATGAACAGAATGTATACCACATATATTGCACTGTTCTTAAGAGTGTTTCAATACTTACTACCCATCTACAAGGGTCAATCACTATTGTGACCATCATCTTATGGTGCAAAACTTGAAAGAAAAGACCCGTCTAGAGGCACTCTGGAGTTCAGGATACATTTAGATGGTTTTCAGTTTGCTTGGAGGTAGCTGGGTAATTAAAAATGTTAGTGTCTGATTTAATGTGAAACATAAAGTTCTTTACAACCAAGAGTCTGAAAAACTTTTCTGTTAATGATGTCTAGTATTCTTCARTATCTTACTTTTCATCTTTTGAGCCCAAAGAAAGTTCAGGATTGCTTTAGTGGCAACAATAAACTTGACATTTAAATTTGTTCAGTTGCCCTGTATCTCTGTGTCAAACCTGTGGCCGCTCTGTATGCACTTTGTTTACTCTTTATACAAATAAATGTACTAAAGACTTTACATGCATATGCGTTTTAATATTTTCATTTTTGAAGCATTTCAAACAATTCACTTACATAGAAAAATAACAGTATAGATTCTGAGGGGGGAGGGTTGGTAATGACTTAGTACTAACACCACTTGAGCTGCACTTCTGTTATGTCTGATAAAAACGGGCCACAGGCCAGTATGGATGGCAAATCTACATGTGCTGTGAGCCAAAACATTTTTTAGTTCTTCCAATCTGTGCCTCTTCTCACTTTGTAACTCATGTAAAATTCACCATCTTCCCTGTCTTCTGTTCTTAACTTCAATAGAAGTGTGACTAAGCGCTGAAGAGGCAAAATACAACAGGAAAATCAGAAGGAGACGTACAGGACATGGAGATGCCACATAACTGATGTAATCCTGATTGTGATTTATAGGTAGTATATTTCTTAGAAACTGTCTTAGTTTAACTTTCCAGCCATAATTTTCCAGCAGAAGCTAGTGAATGCAATAAATTAGACCAAGTAAAATTCTTTACAAAGCGTACAACATATGAACCAGTTCTAGACTTTATAATTAAAGCAAGATATCTATATCTTAGTCAAAAACAAGTTCTTCAAAAGACATATTTTAAGGATATGATCTGAAAGACTAAGATCCTTGAGATCTCAAATTCAATCAGTTATAGTCATAACAATGAACAGACTTAGAAATTTCTAAATGGCAAAAGGTTTCTCATGCATTTAATACCACAGTCTTCAGAAAATGGTGATGTCAAAAGTCACATTAATAAAGACAAAAATTCTTTTCAGAAGTATAGTTGGTAAAATCGCTCATATTTTTCAGCATAATATACTACCAAAGAATGAGAGACAAACCAGAGAGTGAGGTATAGCTTATTAGCTCAAATGGTTATAAATACTATGTCCCCATAAGACTTTCAGAGTGCAGCATTGACTGCTTTACTCTATTGTGGAAATATAGGGCATTTGATGACAAAAATGATCCTGTCTAGTAATTAGATCATCACTAGTCTATGCTATGAAATGAGACACAGAAACCTATGTTCTTGCCACTTGTAAGTCTATCTCATAGGTTAAAGCTCTTTCTTTAGGCGAAATAAAAGGAATGGGGAATTAGTGCCATTGGGTCAGTGCCAGAAACACGGTGAAGGGCCTGATAGTAAATGTTTTAGGCTTTGAGGCTATATGGTCTCTGTTGAAGCTACTCAGTTCTACCAAGGTAACAAAAGTAGCTATAGATGATACGTGAATGAGTGAGTATGGCTATGGTCCAATAAAATTTTGTAGACACTGATAATTGAATTTCATGTAGCAAGTTTTCATCCCCCGCCTTCAAACACTTAAAAATGTAAAATGTCATTCTTAACCTTGCAGACAGCACAAAGATAGGTGGTGGACTGAATCTGGTCCTAGGGTAGTTTGCTAACCCCTGTGTTAGGTCACCAAAGTTTTTTTTTTAAATCTAAGCTATCTTCTGATTTTTACAAAAGGTATAAATAGTAACAACACGTTAAAAGTCAAGCATCTGCAGTATTGTATGCCTTGGACTTCATTATCATTCTGTTGTTGGGTTTAATAGTGCATGGCTGGTGTGGGGGTGATAATGAAATTTGCATAAAGAGCGTCTTTATAGCATGGCCATCAGCACATTTGGTACTTGCACCCTTGTAGTTCTAGGAAAAGTCCTAAAAATCTATAAATGAGATTACTTCTAGGGGAAGTAAATTAAAATGCACATTGGCTTATAAGAAATTCATTCTAAGGCTAAGGAAACAAGATTGTTTCCCATTTATTGCTTCAGACTTTTATATGTGATGTGAAAATTATTCCCATTCCTCAAACAAGGAACGTTGAAACATGATTAGTTTCTTCAATGGACAGTAAGTTAATGTCACGTTGATTAAGAAGTATTAATTCTAGTGGAAAATGTCCTCAATTGATGTTTCTTCTTATTGCTACCATTTTTTATTTGGCAATTCTGCCTGCTGCACAACACAGTTCCTTCTGGGAAATAATAAACCCGTATTTATAGGATATGGCTAGTTTGAATGAAGTTAAGGCAGCGATGAACAGCAGAGATACTGCAGAGAATCTCAGGAGGCTGTAAGGAGAAAACTTAGTATACTCGCTTCTTTTTTAAGTAGGTTTCCATGTAGTATGCTCCTGTGCCCTGAGAATGCTGGTCAACTAATTCTACTGCGCCACCTTCTGGAGCAGAGATGAGATAGGATGAGCCTCGCTTTTCATTTCTTAAAGAGGACACCTATAAGAAAGTAAAATCTCAATTAATATTAAAATGTATATTAAATTGGCTTATTAAGGATGTTTCTGAGAAAAACATTCTACTTCAAGTTGGTGCAAATACAGAATAGCAGGATAAATATCAAAGCCATCAAATATATATTTAAAAATATAAACCAGACACCATGTTGCATTCCTGTAATCCCAGCAATTTAGAGGAAGCCGGTAGGAGATCACAAGTTCAAGGCAACCATGGGCAACTTAGTGAGACACTGTCTCAAAAAAAAATAAATAAATAAAACTGGGCTGGAGGTGGGGTGTGGGGCTTGCTGGTATAGCTTAGTAGCAGGGTACCCCTGGGTTAAATCCTCAGTACCAAACAAACAACAAAACACACATACACTTCCTTAAAGTCTTTATATAAAAATCATCTGTGGAGGGCTGAGTTATTGCTTAGTGGTAGAACACTTGTCTAGCATGTGCAAGGCCCTGGGTTCTCTTTTTAGCACCATTAAAAAAAAAAAAATCACCTGTGGAACTTTAGCTGAACACAAACCATCCCTCACCCTACCTCCAAGATGTGAGAGCAAGAAAAAAATTAAGAGCATTGTGTCCTTCTTGTTGGTTATACACTAAGCTCCACTGATTTAGAACACCAATACTAAATATTGATATTCCTTTGAGGAAGGGCACTTGCTAAGGAATGGAGCCACAGATCAGATTAGATGTTAAGTCTGCCTAGTGAAAGAAGGAGGGGCAAAGAATACACTTGCAGGTGTGGACGCTGGCAAATGATGTCAAGGAAAATAACATTCTAGAGAGGAACAGGCACTCAAATAAAAACTTTGGTGTCTCAAATAATCAGATTTCCAGGCTCTATCCAGAGATTCTACTCTGGGAATGGGTCAGGACCTGTGATCTGATCCCGAGGTTCTTCCTTTTACAAACGGTATGATAAGCTTGTTGAAATGAATAATGCAGGGGCTGAGGCTGGGGCTGAGTGGTAAAGCGCTCGCCTAGCACGTGCTGGGTTCGATCCTCAGCACCACATAAAAATGAGTAAAATAAAGGCATTATGTCCAATTACAAGTAAAAACATTTTTTAAAAAAGAGAAAAGAATAATGTACAAGAACATGGAAAGCAGTGATAAGGCAAGCTTTCAGCTTCACATTATAATTAAAACTCAATTGCTTTTGAACCAACCGCAGTCAACAATTTTTAAAATTGAAGCCAACCTCAGAGGAACGAAGGATAAGTCTGTCACAACTCCCTGTAGACAGTGCAGCCAGTCTTCCATCACACTTGTCAAGGCAAGGGGTGACGGGACTAACAATTAGGGTGGCAGGGACTCCCTCTGTTTTGGCACATACTTCAATTCTGTGTGGTTTAATAATGCTATGGGACAACAATAGCCTTCACATAAACCTTGTTTTAAGGAATGGTTCACGAACGGAAGCACTAATTAACAAAGAATTTGGCTTTAACTTCCATCTGAAAGTTTTTCCTGGTAGTAAAGAAGCTCAGAGGTTTGCTCAGAAATCATTTGAGGGAGGGCAGTAGGTGGAGGCATAGATGAAATGAGACCGGCCATAAGTTGTCAGTTGTGGAAGCTGAAGTGATGGGGACCAGGGATTCAGCTCTGGAGGCTGCTTGGCTCACCCCTCTGGACTGACTTTGCCTCCCTCTCACTCTCTTCAGCTGCCTTCTCCACGGGCGCCCTTAACCAGCTGGTGAGCTCCCTGCATGCTGGACCCCGGCCACTACACCTGGCATTGCTTGGCTTCCAGTAGCAACACCTCTTACCAGCTTTCTTCATCTTATAAAGTCACGAGTCTGTCCTGAAAGTGAACTTTTCCAAAGCACACACCCCACTGGGTCYAGCGCTCTCCTGCCAGCTTGCTTCCCTTCCCTGGTTCTCCCTGCTAGGTGGTAATCTATGGATTCATGTCTTGGCATAAAGCAAAGAAACAGCCTGAACTTTCCTTGTTTTTTTTTAATATTTATTTTTTAGTTATCGGAGGATACAACATCTTTTTTTTGTATGTGGTGCTGAGGATCGAACCCGGGCCGCACGCATGCCAGGCGAGCACGCTACCGCTTGAGCCACATCCCCAGCCCCCTTGTTTTGTTTTCATTTTTAATTTTGTAGTATTGGGAACTGAACCACTAAGTTACCTTCCTCCTGACCCCCGACCCCCCTGCCCCTGCCTTTTTTTATTCTGAGACAGGATTTTGCTAAATTGTCCAGGCTATCCTTGAACTTGTGATCCTCATGCCTCAGCCTCTCAAGTAGCTGGGATTACAGTTGTGCAGCCTGAATTTTCCTTTCAAAACCATCCTTATTTTCAGGCACCAGATAGGACATTAGATTTTTTTTTCATTCAAAAGATATCCCAGGGCCGGGGKTGTGGCTCAGGGGTAGAGTGCTTGCTTAGCATGCATGAGGCACTGGGTTTGATCCCTGGCACCACATAAAAATAAAACAAAGGTTAAAAAAAAAGGGGGAAACAACAACAACAAAATAGACATCCCAAAGGCACCAGGCTACTCACAGTGAGAACCAACTGAGATCTAAAAGCAATAAAATACTTCATGGAGCAGCACAGAAAATTTAGGAAGAAAAGGAAGTGAAGATAGATGCCATTGTGGTCATACAATACTAGGAGAAAGATGATTCTAACACAGCCTATCAAAGACATCAAAGACATCTAACATAGTATAAGAACCAGTGAATGGGCAATGACAGTAGTTAGGATTTTTGAAATAAA